ATCCTTTGCAGTAAAATACAGCTATGCTGGTGGCTTTAACACAGCTTTAACCATAAATTGTCTTAAATGCTGGAGAAAAAATATATTTCTGCTAATTTACCCTTTAACCCTGAAGACTGGTATGCAGACTGCTGGTCACCATAGCAACGCAGAAAACAGTCTTGCCTAGCTAGTAGCTAACAAAAAGGCAAAGAGAAAGATTTGAGACGAATGGATTTTTTTGCATTATTCGCATTTATAAGCACTCCAGCTGGTTTCCTGATACGTTTTGTCTGCATCAAGAAACACTCAAACACTAAAAAGTCGTGAAGCTGAAGACAGCTTTTCATTTGAATTCTCTTGTTCCACTTTAAATGGCGCAACAGTTACATTTAAGGTGGAACAGGAAAATTCAAACAAGAAACTGGCGAATGAGAAGCTGACTTCAGCCTTGTAAAAAGTCGATCATTGAGATACATTTTACAAGAAACCATTCTACTTCTGAGAAAAAGTTTCATGCCAGAGGTGTGAGAAAAGCAGCTATAGATGAGCTAAAGCTTAAAGCAGAGCAAAGTTAGTCTGTGTTTTCATTTATATTTTTAGCCGACACTAGGACATTAGCACATACTGAGACATATTTACAGCCAAGATGGTAAAACATTACTTAAACAAATGGACATAAAATGTTGTGGCTCCCAAGGGGGATTGATTTTTGTTGAAAGGACAAAATGGCTCTTCTGAACATTCAGGTTGCCGACCCCGGTCTATATGTTCCATATATAGAAATTAAGCTGGAAAAACTGCCCGTTTTTAATTAACTGTTTTTGTGATGTCACAAAAACTAGCACACTTACATATAGCCACCCAATCAACCAACTACTATTTTGTCTTGACCATTCATGGTGAAGTTATAAGGAGTGTTTCAGACTGGAAAGCTTTTTTGAAAACAAGACAGTCAATCAGAACAGGGATAACTGACATAGATCTGTCTTCTTGTAAGTATCTTAGTGTCCACCGCATGCCAGTTTGTAATCTGAAATTTCACTCTATTTTTTTTCGTCAGGGAGAAGCAAAAAACATGCGGACCATCAAGCAGCAAGAACTGGACTAATGTCATGGTGAAAAGAGTTGAGCTGGTTTCAACTTTATAAATTACTGGCATCAGCTGTGTAGCGTTGACCAATCGGGCAAAAGCAACCTTCCACTGCCAGTAAGCTAACCCTAGGTGTGTCTAATTAATTCCATCCGGATGAAAGCTAAAAACTATGGAGCTCCTCATGCTTCTTGCAGCTGCCACAAGACTCTTCTTTTTCAGATGAGTGGTGTAGATTATTAAGAGTGTTTAAGCTTCATATTGATAGCTGAGTGCAGGCCTATTTGAGCAGGAAAGCATGCCATTAACAAAAATAAAACTTCACTGAAATATTCCATTCAAGAGGCCTGTTTATAGAACCAAGTTTACGACAGCAGCCTGCTTTAATAAGAAGAGAATTTATTTGGAATCAATTTCATGACTGACAGGTTCATTCACACCTCTAGTGCTGAAGCACTGGTATAGAAACCAGAGGGAGATAATCTCGGTGCTTGTAGCAGACACACACCATTACAGGCACAGTCACAAAAGCACTGTTTTATTCTAATGGATAATGAGATTTAAATGCAACTGAAAACAGAAAGCTGATACGTTGAAATTGATTATTATTATTAACTGATTTTTGGTACACAAACACACACAAAAGTGGACCTCGGGGAAAAAACAAAGCTACATTGAGCTACATTTTTCCTTCATATTTCTGTTATATTTTGCAACACTTAATTTATCATAGTTGACAGCTTTCGTCTCCAAAATATTCTTTAAAGCACATACTGAAAGTGTTTTTGTCCCAAAGGTGGTTTAAACAATAACGAGCACTTACATCACAAGGGAATAAAGTGTGTGGGTTTTGTTATAATTCCCAAGCTAGCAATCTCATAAATGCTGTCACAAATATCTACATGTGGCATTTTTCTCAAAATTAAAAACATTTGAAAAGCCAGATGTACCCAAACTTTTGAAAAGCAGAGTATGTGGTATTCTGATAAGTCGCTACAGGCAGCCACAGGGACCAAAGAGTCACTAACCAAACCCAGGCCAATGGCAGGGCAGAGGCCAGGGTCAAAGTGCAAAAGGTAATAGTCTGAGTTCAGCCAGCCAACAGGTGCTGAGACCAGAACAGTGCTGCTAGCTTAAGTGGACTGGCACCGGACACTCAGACTGAAGGCAGGTTTTTTTGGTGTTAGTAAAGATAGCATTAGTGCATGCTGAATATATCAAGGCTTCAAACCCTTTGGCTGGGCTCTGTTATCTCTCAAAGGCACATTAACTCAAGCTGAATGTTCTGTGAAGGGATCATGCCTTTAATTACAGTCCTAACTAAGCCTTGATCAATGCCATTGATGTTTTGCTTGTCAATACAAGCTAATGTGTTGTGGCTATTAGTGTACTGTCAACACATATGATAATAATGAAATACTACTTGTTTATTTATTGACTTCCTCATCTGATCACCCGGGTTATCCACAAGCCAGCTACAATGTTTATATTTTTTATATTATTTTTTTTCTTTTTATTGCTCTATTTTTCTACAATTAGTGTTTATTTTGTTTATGATCAGTGTCTGAGAGTAACGCAATTTCAATACTCTGTATGTCCTGTACATATTGTAGTACTGACAAAAAAGCTGACTTGACTCGACTTGACAACACCGGCTGCAAAATGTACGACCAATATGGTGAGATAAACCTTAAACTTCTAGCACCATGAATTCACTCACTCCCCTGATTTCTCTGTAAAATCACTCCAAAAATCATTGTGATTTAAAGAAGTTTCATAAGACAAAATGTGTGAAGGCAATACTTGCAGGAAAGACATGCAATATTCTAATAAATATTGCCTCTGCTTAGACCATGATAAAATACAAGTCAAAGCTGAGCATTATCAAACAGGGATCAAGCAAGGCTTGGAGTGATTGTGTTTTTCAGACAACACTACAGCATTTACTGAAATTAACCAGATTAAAGCATCCCGTCAATGATACTGAAACTTAATCATAATGTTTGATGTACAATACTGTACAAAAGTCAGAGATCAACATTCATTTATTTTATTTTCAGTCTAAATGTCCAGCTCAAAAGGTTACTCATTTTTCAGTATCAGGAAAAAAGCAGGAAACATATAAAACAGACAATTACACAGAAGACTCAATAACTACCAATACACTATCAACATTTTCTACAGTTTACCCTTTGCTTTCATTACAGCTTACATTCTTTTTGGGAGACTGGCTTTCAGTTTTTCAAAGAAATCTGCAGGGATATTTTTTCCACCTCCAAAAATCAGTCTGAAAATTTGGTTGGATTTTACGCTTCTCACAATCTAAGTAATTCCATGTACTGTTTATCCAATGCTGACAGTCCTATTTTCTCTACATCTTTTAACCATTTTTACCTCCAGTTTAGGAAACTCTTCTTTTTTTATTTATTTTCCTTTGACTTTCCCCTTCCTTAAATAGATTACAAATAGATTACCTTATATCTATAGCTAGTGCACAATAGCCATTGTGACTGGAAATTAAATAAATAAAAACTTTTTTACAGTACTGTATACCAGAGTGTTTTTGTGGCTGTTATGAAGGTTTATGGGCTATGGACTCAATTAGCTCAAATTTGCTAATTTAACTCTCTTTTAATTGTTTTGTCCATAGGCTGGATGGCACACTTTCCACAACAACACAGACTCTTATACTGTTGATTATAACTGGTCATATTACTGAAACATACTCCTGTAATACAGAACTAGTGTATGCTGCAGACAAAACAATATATTTCTTCATCTTTCTCCAGAAGTCTGGACAATATTGGCTATAAGTCTGCAGCACTCAGCCCAGGAGAGGAGTTATTGATTAGGCTAATTCAGCTAATTCCTTCCCCCCTTTGGTTTTGACTTTCCCACACTGTGAGGGGCTGTAAAATGAATACAGTTTGTTTAATAAAACATAGACCACTTAAATTGTCTGAAATTATGGCCAAAATTAATGAAAGTTAAAGCATCACATAACATGGAGCAGGTCTCTTGAGAGTACTACAGTTTGATGGTTAAGCACACACAGGACACAAAATAGAAAGAAGAATGAGGTATTACAGCCATGGCTCGTTTCCTGTAGCTATGAAAGCATGTGCACAGATTTGATTAAATGACATTGTGCAAACAACAGATTCAGATAAAAAAATGTTTTAAATCTAATGCTGCAATTAATATGCGGCCGTATCTCCTAAAAGGTAATCTTTTCAAGAGATGGAAAAAATTCTTAATTTTCATGGAAGTTAAAGGAATTTTTAAGTAATTTTGGATTGTTTCTGTTGGTCCATACATCATAAAATTTGACACAATGTAAAAGGCAGCTAAATGAAAAACGACAAAAACTGAGATATGTGGTTTTGTCCTGACAGCGACAATATGTGTAAAACCATGGATTACTATTTCTATTTCAGGAAAGTACAATATGCAGGCTACAGTTTATAATACTAAATGGAGACACTTTTTTCCAATGAATTAATTCAAGCATAGGATCTGTGATGGTTCCAGGGCTTTCTGTTTTGTGTACAGCTCACACAACTGTAGCAAAATAACAGACTATTTCCTGACAGCTGGTGGAGCTGTAGTTTCTCTGTTTTTTTTTTGTAATCAAATCAGTGCCATTAGAACAGCCAGATGATATCAAAACATACCAATAAACTTCCAAAGAGCTGTATGTCAATGAAACCGAGAAAAATATTTTTCAAAGTTCTACTGTTGCATAGCCAAATGTTAACATGTAAGTGAAACGGTGCACAGATATCAGTCAATATCAGTTATTCATTTAGCTACAACTCATTTTGGCTGGAAAAACAGAACTTTAAGACGTTTTTCTCAGTTTCACTGTTGGCATAGTTACTGCTAAGGTAAGGCATGTCTTGACCAGCTGTAGTCCACTTCCACTTACCTCCTTCTCTGTCCTCTGTTATGCAATGGCGGATGGAATCTGTGAGGCCTAGGCTGGCAGCACTGGGCAGGGGTCCCAGTAGGACAGTAAGGGGCACGTGTGTTGAGGGCTCGGCTGGTTCTTTACCCTGCTCTTGTGCCTCTGTCCCACTGTGAGGCCCCTGCTCCAGCTCGGGAAGCATCTGCTGGATGAAGTCCTGGTTGAGGTGCTGGGCTGCAGCCTCCATGTCCTCATCCTCCAGATCTTCATCTCCAGCAAACTCCGAGGCCAAAGACAGGCTGTCATCATGTGTGTCTAGCAGGAACAGAGAAGCCTGTTAAAAGTGGTCTTTAAACAAGTGGTTCATTGAAAGGGCTGATTATTTAGTAATACAATTATATATTGTTGTGCCTATACAGTTGCACCTACTGGAGTTGTACCTAATGATGTTGTGCCTGCCTTTTAACAATTAGGTGCACCTATCATGTGGATAGATTCCAATTACTGACTGTAGCTAATCTGTTGTTGCACACTGTATCAGCCCCTCTTTACCCCATTTATCAATAGAAAGGGACCACAGTTGGACCAACAGTGACCAGATATTAGTTTGGGTGATGGACTATTCTCAGCATAGCAGTGACACTGACATGGGACAGGTACCAGTTTATGAGGTGTTGTTGGAGTTATTAAAGTTGAGAACAGTCAGCCATCCAACAAATATCCAGCCAACAGTGGTCCTGTGGTCAGACACTTACCACTGATGAAGGGCAAGAGGAACACCATATATTCATGGAAAAAATAGCTATAATCTCTAACAATATACCTGCAAGATAAACAAACAAGGTACAGTATGTGTGTCTTATTAAGTGGCCAGTGCGAATACATTTCTTTAAGTGTACTCAAAGTTTCTTCTAATATGGCTGTCTAACTGTACCAAAATCATCAAACTACACAGTATGAAATACACTAAAAACAGACTGTACCTTGTACATTCCCACACAATAAAATAATGTTTTTTCTGTCATACAGAAAAAAACAAAGACACACACAGAGATCGAACAAACACACCCGCACACAGGCTTTCATGTAGTGTACAGTACCTTCTCTAGTGTAGGCAGCGTAAATCCCTTTCAGTTTGGGCCTGCTGTTCTCCAGCTCTGTCTCGATCTCATCCCGATATGAGCTGATCTCGCCTACGAAGACGCAAACAACACATTGCTACTCACTCAGGGCACTGCCTCTAACAGTCTGCACCTTTTCTCCATCACAGAATGGACATCATGATGCCAACAAAGCTCTCATTTTACATTATCTATAGTTTTAAATGTTCATCAGCAACATAAGGCAAATAAATGTGTATCCTGAACATTAAAAAGCATTTAATGAACCAATAAGATAGTACAAGCATTCTGGTATTTTCTTGGCAAAATTCACTCTCTGAAATGCCTTGATTAAAAAAAAAAACATAAGTATGCAAAACTCACTCATAGTGAATTCATGCCATTGTACGGCAAATGCAACCAACATCTAAGACTGAACCTTGGAGATGTGGAAAAATATCCTTGCAGATTACTTTGAAAAACTGAAAGTTAGTCTCCTGAAAAACATGCAAGCTATAGTAATTTAATAATTCTGCTTTTTCTTGACACTGAAAAATGAACGACGAGTGGTCTCTGACTTTGGCACAGTACTGTGTAATGGTGTGTTGTTTAGTTCCTGGTTATTAAAACGATATGGAAGCTATCAGTGACTTACTCATATCAAAAATCTCTATAACACTGGTAAATAAACTCAAAAACATCTGTGTTCGTACTTGCTATGTTTGGCTAGAGGATCAGGTTTCATAACACAATCATATCAGATATTGGGCAGTAACTGCAGTCGATAGAAAAACACCTTTAGGGAAGGTAGTAAATCAATCTTTTAGTTTTTTTCACAACCAACCAATGTCTCCACACAATGCAAGAGAACTAAGGTTCAGCAGTAAATGTGACAAAAGCTTCACTGATAGCACTGATGTCAGGAACATTTTGTATGAAATGTGTTATGTTCTTTTTCAGTGGAACTCCCCCCTTAAGGCACTGTTCTGCATGCATGTGGCATGTCATACTGTGATTCATCCATGGAGATTTCAAAAGTGACACATCTAACTGATGCCACGCAATTTCATCATATGAACGCAGTGTGATCAAACAAAAATTGATTCAATTACCAATATGCTTGTTCGACCACAAAAATTCAAGTGACAGACACTGATGAAAGCCTTTACAGGCCTAACAGAAAAAGTAAAACTTCAGTGGGCACTCAAACATCAAGACGTAAATCAATATCTTATTTCAGTCGGGCAAACTAACCTTGATATTCATCAAGCTTCTTGGTCAGCTCTTTTTCCAGCTGAAATGAATGAGAGAATTTTATATTAAAAGGACAGCTGAAGAACTGAATAAGACAAAAACCTACAAACATACAAGAGACAATGTAACATGACAATGTAAAGACAGCCAGTTGTCTTTCTAACATTAAACTTGACAAGGGAATGATGCTGTATGCACCTTTACCTTTGTGGGTCATGTTATGATTCTGTTAGTGCACCAACCTGCTGCATCTTTAACTTCTTCTGACCAGCAACAAAAGAAGGGGGATCACACTCTGCCTCCAGGTCCACTCGCATGAACTCATCAATAGTGAGATGACTGGTGGGTGTGTCCTCAAATTCTGTCAGCCTAAGGAGAAATCATGTAGATATGTACGATGACCAATCTGACTGTCTTTAGTTATTATTGTATCTTTGTATAGGTATGTTTAATTAATCTTGTTCCATCATTCCTTTCTCACCCAACAGATAATTCAAGAGCCACAATTGTATTGTGCTCAAGACTGTGCCAGAAACCACCCTTTAATGTCCAGTTAAAACAACTATTAAGTACTTAATTTCAAACTTTTTTCAAACTAATTCACTATTTTTTCATTTTCATAGTATTCATTTTCCAGTGCAGGCAAACGTAGAAAACATATATTTAACATACAATTACACAGATGCCTCATAGACTAAATATAATTTTTGCATTTAGTCAATATTATTCATTATTTATAGTCAGTATTTTGTGGGTCCACTATTATTTCATACCTCAAGTTCAGTCTTAGAAATGTATTGCATTTTCTGCTTCTCACAATCCAAGTAATCCCAAACACATTCAGTGATGTCTGGATTCTGGGTTCTGAGCAACTTCTTTATTTATTCTTTATTTGCAGAAGTCTCCTGTTCCTTTTCTCAGTAACACAGTTCTCACAGTGGAAGGATGGACAGAAAAACCTATGACCTAAAGAACGAGTAGAGCTTGTTTTTTATCTCAAAGATAAAAGCTTTAAATGCTGTTTATCTGATGGTAACTGTTTTTTTGTGATCTACCAGGTCTTACATGGTGGTTATGAGCCCCATTTCCTCTATATCTTTGAATCATTTTTTCCTGTTTTATAAATTTTCCTTTGACTTTCCCTTTCTTTATACTTTATACTTCTTTATATCTCTTGAAAAATGAAACTTGTACTTGGCCATTTTATTGCATAGCACTGTATGTCAGTATACTTGGTGTATAATATGATTCATGATTCTTCATCATTCATACAATCCTAGCAAGGCTGGAGAAAACCTCAAAGCGATAAGAAAGGTAAACACATTAGTGAATCTTGAAAACTATCTAAAAAAGAAAAGTGCAGCAAGTACAAACACCAGCACTCCTCAGATCCAAATCTGATTTCAGCTAGTCTTATACATAATAGGCAATATAAGAGAAGTCAAACTATACACTCACCCAAAATGTACAGTCACTTACCTTTTCCTCAGAGTGGCCTCACACACCTTCACCACACGTATTACTTCCTTCACCGTGCGGCGGAACTCATGCATGCGGGCCGCCACCAACAGAGCTGCAAGATTGAGATGTGATCCATTTGCTACGTTTTATAAATACACTCAGGCACAACCTCAATAGGTTTTCTATTTACTAATGGTAATGAGAAAACATTTTCTGAGTGCTGCTGCACCTTTACACGGCATCTCAATAAAGCTTCTGGAGCACAGCATACAGGATTGGTAAACATAGCACATACAGTTGGGCTGTAATACTGTTTACCAAGTGCTGTACAGTTCTACAGTACATGACACAAAGACAAGCCTCCACATGCTTTCTCAATTCCACTGCCAGTGTTACAGCTCAGTCCACACAACGGCCTCCACTATATTTATGCAGCACTACAACAACTCACAAACCGGAGCTGAATCAATAAAGGCTTAGATACACGTTGCCCACATTATGGAACTAGGCCAGGTTTTTTTGTGAAGTTCAACAACTACCTTCTGTGCTATTACAATGGAAACTTTATCACTTTTTGAGGATGGAAAAGTGCTTTCATTTCTGCGTTTACTCTAAACTTTCTCTCAGGATGATAAACGTCAATGCTCAGAAGCCCCATCTAAACTTACCGCCTTCTCCTGAATACTGTGAATGATTAATGATTAATTATTAATTATTCAGATATTGCAGTAGCGGATGTAGGAGGGAACGTGAGACATTGTGAGAGAGAGAGAGAGAGAGAAAGCAGAGCTGCAGGAACTTTGCATGCTATTCTGAAGCGAGGGCATCTTGCTGACGGCAGAGTACGGGGGCTTAAACGCTGGGTTTCAGGCGAAAGGCGAAGAGGTCTAAGCAGCAGAACTGAATGTGCAGCGCTCCAAGTTCAGGCTTGTTATGTAATGCTGCAACTCTGTTCCAGTTCCCATATCAAACTTTCAGCCTGGTAAGGGTTCGTTCACAGTTTGGTAAAAGCACTCAGCAGTGAACTTCAATAACACGTCATGACATACTGTACCATCTCTCAGGCACACAAAGGAACATTCAGCCAGTCTTTCCTCTGGTACGCTCAGTGCAATGATCATACATTCAAAACAATATAATGAAATGCTGAACTTCCGAGTGACTGAGAGTGAAAATGGTAAAGGTTGTGATCAGAGCTGAAAAGCAAGGCTGTCCAGCACATCATTTAGCTGATAAATGTGGTTGATTTTAGGATTTCCCAGAAAACGGCATCAGCAGATATCCCACTGGTAAAGTACCAATAATGTCTCTTTAAATGTTAGGCTATTTAAGAACCCAAAATGGAGGACTATGATGCTAAAGAGGGCTAATAACTAGCTAAAACAAGTCAGTTATTGCAAAATTTAATTTATATGAGGCATTTTGGACACCATTTCTCAAAGTAAGTAACAGTCCAGGTATTCATAGCATTCATTGCTCAGATATTATCAGTTATTAGTAGGGATGTAAATGATTAACTGTTAAGTGTTAACTGTTAAGTAAGTGTTCAACCAATACTCTTGTTTAATTTTATTTCATTCCAAATGAACAACATTTCCTATTTGGACAGGTTTATCATCAAACTTGAAGAACATTTTTGGACTGTATACATGAGGGCACAATAGGCAATTGGTTAGAAACATGCATTTAACCTTTTTTTCCAAAAACAGGTACTAACCACTAAATTGTACAATACTTTGACAGGGAAAATACATTTTTTCTTTTTTTTTTGTAGTTATTACAATTATGCATTGGTGACATATTATTTCACATTGGCCTATTAGTAAATTTGGGTACCTGCACCACACAGTCCGGACGGCCGGCGTCCTGTGTGCATCCAATCCCTCTTCATCCTCTGCAGCAGCCTTAGAGCAGTCATGGACACCTCATGGGTCTTTTCTCCAAACTCCAACATGTGGGCAAAGCGTGGAATATACAGACATGGATCTATGGACAAGGAACACATCATCAGAATAGACGTTCCAGATTTAGTCTCCCAAAAAGTGTCTTTCCATCCAATCTTGCTGGCCTGTAGCAAGAGGGTGCAAAGTAAATGGACAAATAACTTCAGTCAGCCAGAGTATATTCTAAAGCTGGTGTGCTGAATAACCATGCTAACCAAAGAAGGGCCACTTCATTTGCATCCCATTGCAGAGTTTGAATACATACAACTTCTTCAACGCTCTCCTTGACATTAGGGTGAATCTGGACCATTGCTTTTCTATAGGGAGCTCTCAAAGTGGCTTGGCTTACAGTCACTCAGAGGGAGCAAAAATCCCTCACTTCCACCTACTTCAAAGTCCTTGGGTAAACTCATTCTGCTGCCCCACTAAAGTACACATCACGGATGTCCTAATAACAGGGAAATGAGTTCAGCTCACAGAACCAGTCTGCCACAATCCTATCTGAGGCAATGCTGTATGGACTCCACCTGTGCTTGAGGGACAGTAAAATCCCCCAAGACCTCTTCTGTTGCTCACTTATAGGCAATTTTATACTAAATTATAATATTAATACACCGAAGCAACAGTGAAGAAGCTGATCTTTCTGTGTCATCTGGGAAACAGGAAGCAGCAATTCCAGGAAAATTAAATTTCTACATGTGACAACTCTCTGAGACGTTCTGTACTACACTAAAATAGAAATTGATCTGGAAGCCTCTATTTCACCCAGGCTATTGGGTTTGTGTGATTTGCGGGAGTATGCAGCTGTCGAAGGCTGATTAAAAAAAGGTGATGAATGAACACGGGAGGCAGGAGGGTCTCTAACAATCAGAGCCATGGGAAGTTTCAGCCGATCAGAAAGCCACAACACTACCACAGAAAGAAAAAAACATGAGTCGTGGTGGGGATTTAGTGTTAACAAAAATTGAAAAGGAATCCCTGATGCATTATGCTACACATTACTGAGCTTCTACATAAGCTTAGTATATATGTTCAAAAAGCCTGCCCTTCAATTTTCGCTGAACAAAAAGTTCCTAATATTATGCTACGTTATATTCTACAACTTCTCAGATTTCAAATGAAGAATAGAAATTTGTATAGCATCGTGAGTAAAGTTATAATAAATTTAATACCCAGAATGCCATGTATTTCAGAAATGATCTTGAGGCAGATGAGTTGACAAAAAATATAATTTCAGTCTAATTACAGTATTTCCCATTTAATAATATTTATTCTATTTGTTCCCGAATACTTCAAAGACGGAATAGCACACCTAAAAATACCTCTTGTTGTGGAGTTTATAATCAACCAAACTGACAAGCCCAGTACTGAATCCAAAAAAGATAGCAGCTCATTTAAATTTGCCAACAGAGGAGTTACACCACAGAGAATATCACACATGCACATAGAATCATTGCTTTCTGTGTGCTACCTTGTTTTCTATCACTATACAAAAGATGCATGTGGCTTTTTTTTGTTGGTTGCACCGCATTTTTCTCAGAGCAAGCATATGAACTCATTCACAGCACAGTTTGGATTATCACTTAATCCTGACTTTGTTTAATCTGAGTACTGACAAAATATACCTGATGTGTGACTTATATTCTGATGAATGTAATTACATGTTCAAAATGGTAGTTTGAGTTCAGACCATGCCTTCAACATGTTGGTAATATAATGAAAGACTGATTGAAGGAGGGGGAGAACGCTGAGAACTTGGTTCTGGAGTTCTAGGGGGCTTCTGTCTGTAGCTAGAAGGCCAGACCCCCCCTCATAGCTCTAGTAGGACTGATGTAGGACTGAGGAACAGGGAGGAGATGGGGTTGCGGTGGGGATTGCGAACGCTTCGTCACGGGAATGGAAGATGAGGATGGAATTTTATAGGCCGTTAGATTGGAAGAAGGAGGGGTTTCAGGCATGTTCCTCCGCCAAACTTCAGTTATAACATAACTACATTCATGACATAAATTGAATAAAAATCTATGAATTTTCAGCTTTGTTATGTATTACATACATATCAACAACACCATGAGGAAATTGTGTTATTAACAGAGAAGAATAGATAAAATTTCAGAAAACATCCATTTTGTGTCAGCCTTAAAGGGTTCATTAATGCACAAGTTATTCTTATATACAGGAAAACAAAACTATTAAAATGATTATAAACATTCTAATGGTAGTGTATCTCCTCCAGCAAGAGCATAACTGATCTGAAACAACATTAGCAAGACTGATATTATAACACTGGAACTCTCCCACTGTGTATAGATGGAATATACATAAGAAACCTCTTAGATCAGGGGTTCCCAACATTTCCATCCCATTTATCCACTCATTCCTAGCTGAGGAAGATTTTTTTCTTTTTACTCCCCCAGTCTTATTTTTTTTACAGCTATCATATAGGTCAAAGGCAAATGTCCACAGTGGACAACAAAGTAGTATTCTGTTCTATAATTTCTTGTTTGCCAACCTTGCATACATGTAACTGCACAATCACTGTGAATAAGCTATTTAGTTCTTTAAAGCTAGAGTGTGAGAGAACGTGAACATTATGCTAGGAGTCTTCTGAGCCCATGTGACCCTGTGATGGAATAAAATTATGCTGAAATGTTTTTATGATGTGCTTTTAGCTCAAACACTGATTGGAAGCACATATGTCTTGATAAATCTGATTTACTTTCATATGTTAATCCAGTATTCAGACGAAACAGTGACCGAGCTGCGTTCAGAAATAAGTGTCTTCTGATATAATTACATAAACATTAAATTACTGTTCTACTATACTTTGGTATAGGGTTTTCGGAGGAAATGCTTATAACTGGACCAGTGAAGTATTTCCTGAGAATGCTGCACTTGATGAGACTTTTGGCTGGCAAAATAACTGTTGTCTAGGTTTGTATGTTGTTTAAGCCTCTTAACCCAGGCCATCCGCTGATAAACCCCTCCAAATGATCCATTTTGTAACGCCGGGGCCCTCTGTTGGAAAGCCGGGAAAGCTAACTAGAAGCAGGACGTAAGCCCAACCCCCCTCTCCCAGAGCAGGCTCCGGATTTAACATGGCTCCTGGCTGCGACCGAGCGTCCACAGACCAAACCTGAATGTATTTCTCTGCCACCTGGGCCTCCCTCTCTTCAATAAGGTAATGAAATCCCAACTGCATATAGCCGTTACTTTCACTCCGACCGTTTTTGTGCTGAATCTCGCGCGAACCTCGGCAGCTAAAAGCTCGACCACCGTCCGTTTGGAGGAGAACTCCTCTGTGTAGACGGCTCATCCGTACTGTTGCTACTTTATCTCTTTTTACACCGCGCCGGTCTGCCTCTAAAAAAGACCTTCTCTGTGTTGGTGGGCATTTTAACGATTGAAATTCACCATGTATGCCAGCACACCAGATCTTGAGCTGTTTTGGTGCGGAACAGTCGCTAGTGCACTTCGTTTCAGATGTTTATCCCGGTAAACCAGTTTATAAATGTGGAGATATCACTGGCAACGTTGGCAAACTAAACGATCATACACGTTGTTAAACTGCTTCTTGATCTGTATGTAAAGTGTCCGGTTCCGCACATATTGTTACTGCCTTGTATTTGTGATCGAGCTCTGCCAACGGCCAGTCAGTTTGAAAGTAACTTCGCAAAATGGTCCTGGTAGCCTTGCACAAAAACTACCACCACACACAAACACTACTGTTTCTGAACAGAATTGAGCTGTTTCGCGATTTTTTTGTATCTGTTTATGCGTCTTTCCTGCTGTAATGAACATAGTGTAGTCTTTCTGGTTTCTTTTTTCACGATCATGTCGGTGTAAATGCTGACGTGAACGTATATTGTCAACACCGCCGCAAGGGTTAAATCTGCTGCTTTAGCTGTACGGGAATATTATGGCGAGAGTGGGCGGGGCACTCGGGTCGTGGGAGGAGCCCCGCGTCGTATAACGTAAGCGCGTCCGTAAATCTGATTGGCCGGCGCAGGGCTTGGGCGTTTGCTTTGGCCACACAAAACGAGCCTTTACAATACAGAAGGAGTGATAGAGAGGAGCCGTTCAGAAGCGATGAGCGGAGCTCGTTCATGATGGCAACCACAGTGTAACGTTTTTAATCAGCAGTATCAGCAGATGCTCCCTGTTGACTTTTAGTTGTTTTTCTTCTGGTCGTATGAAAGACGCCTAGAGAGGCTGCAGCGTTGCGTTTGCTGTTGATCTGGAGCTCGACAGGAGGTGTTTTCTCCGCGATCGAGGATGCGATGAGAAAGAGGAAAAAGTATTGGCTTTGGAATAATTCTGCTGGACGGATGCGTGTGTGTTGCCCCGTTTTGTTGCATCTATAGAGAGCAGCGTTATGGGAGCGCGTAGACTGCAGCCCATGTGAAACACGGGACGTGTCGTTTAGAATTAAACCGCAGGGCGCCAGTCAGTACACCTGTCTTTCAATCAGACTAACAGACTGGAGGATTTATTTGCTGATGCCAACATCTCCAGATTGCCTGTATGGCCGGATCATGAAGTTTCTGACGTTTTTCCTTCTGCTTCCAGAGACCCTAAAGAGGACTAGAAAGAGTGGGAAAGAGCCCGGCAAGCTGCCAGCATGCTATGAGATCGTGACTTTGTCCTTGAAGAAGAAGATGGCTGCAGAACTGTATCCTGCAAGCATAAACACCAATCTGCCAAACAGCAACGGACCAGCAGTAACTGCTGCCAGCAAAAAGAGCATCGTTCAGGTGACCCAAACAGTGACCACCCCAACATCCAACACCACTCAGCAGAATATCAACAATAACAACGTCGAGACTGCCACCTGGCAGGCTACTCATCCAACGCTGCGAGAAAGGTAAAGGCACATTTAACGGTTTTCCTTTCAAGTGTCAGAGTCTAGACTGTAATTATGGACATACTTTAATGCTGTTATCTCTTTTCCAGGAATGCTTTGATGTTCAATAACGAACTCATGGCTGACGTTCATTTCATTGTGGGTCCCCCTGGCGAGTCACAGAAAGTTCCAGCACATAAGGTAAACGCAGTGTGGTATACGGTTTGTGTGACCTGAGGTTAGTTACTGTCGAAGTTGTTTCATCCAATGTGTTTTCCATTGGTTCTTTCAGTATGTATTGGCAGTGGGGAGTTCGGTGTTCGGTGCCATGTTTTATGGGGATCTAGCTGAAGGCGAATCGGAGATTCATATTCCTGACGTGGAGCCTGCTGCTTTTTTAATCCTATTGAAGTAAGCTCTCCTATTATATTCTTCTATACAATTTGCTGTTTTATTCACATGATGAATTAAATTTTTTTTTGTGGTTGTGATCACATCTATTCAAGAAAAGGCAATGTGATTTTCTCATGAGCTCATCTCACATTCTCCCTCCAGATACCTGTACAGTGATGAGATTGAACTGGAGGCGGACACAGTGCTGGCCACTCTGTACGCCGCCAAGAAATATATAGTGCCTGCCCTGGCCAAGGCTTGCGTCACCTTCTTGGAGACCAGTCTGGAGGCCAAGAACGCCTGTGTGCTGCTGTCCCAGAGCCGGCTGTTTGAAGAGCCTGAGCTCACCCAGCGCTGCTGGGAGGTTATTGATGCTCAGGCTGAGCTGGCTCTCCGCTCTGAAGGCTTCTGTGAAATTGACCTGCAGACCTTGGAGATCATCCTGAAGCGAGAGACTCTAAACACTCGGGAGGCCATAGTTTTTCAGGCTGTCCTGGACTGGGCCGTGGCCGAATGCAAAAGGCAAGGACTGGGACCAACGGCTCGCAACAAGAGGGCAGTGCTGGGCAAGGCCCTCTACCTCGTGCGTATCCCGACCATGACGCTGCAGGAGTTTGCAGATGGAGCAGCGCAGTCGGATGTGCTGACACTGGAAGAGACTCATGACATTTTTCTCTGGTACACAGCAGCCAACAAGCCCAAACTGGACTTCCCATTGACAAAGAGGAAGGGGCTGACGCCACAACGCTGCCACCGCTTCCAGTCCTCTGCTTACCGCAGCAACCAGTGGCGCTACCGCGGACGCTGCGACAGCATCCAGTTTGCTGTGGACAAGCGGATCTTCATCGCGGGACTGGGCCTGTATGGCTCCAGTGGTGGAAAGGCAGAGTACAGCGTCAAGATCGAACTGAAGCGCCAAGGAGTGATCCTGGCCCAGAACCTGACTAAATTCATTTCGGATGGTTCGAGCAGCACCTTCTCTGTGTGGTTCGAGCACCCGGTTCAGGTGGAGCAGGACGCCTTCTACACAGTCAGTGCTGTGTTGGATGGGAATGAGCTCAGCTACTTTGGGCAAGAGGGAATGACAGAAGTGCAGTGTGGGAAGGTGACCTTTCAGTTCCAGTGCTCTTCAGACAGTACAAATGGCACTGGTGTGCAGGGAGGTCAGATCCCAGAGCTGGTCTTCTATGCATGAAAGGTGTGAGGATGGCCTTACTGAAGTGCATTCCGCCCAACTGAATTTGGATGCAATGAACACATGGAAAGTACAGGGTCCTAAGAGGCTCTTGCCTTGTTTTCAATGTAGCAGTGGAGGACAATTGAATGGCAAAGCCTGTTCTTGCTAAAACAGACTCTTCTCAGACAAAGTATGAGTGAAGGAATGCTCCTCTGCTTTATTTATTAAAAAAAGAAGTATATTTGATTTAATTATTGATGCTGCGGCATGCAGATCTATATAAATATATATATATATATATATATATATATAAACAAAGATATAGATGTATTGCACTCCTGGTGGCTCACCACTAGCGTGTTGTGTTTTGTACATAACCTGAGGCTAATTTGTTTACAGCTTGATGCTGACTGACAAATGAAATGTCTTGTATTAGTGTGCAGCTTACTAAACTGCAGATCATAAAAGTTTTTGTGACTCAAACTGCAAAGTTGTCGCCCTCTGTTTTGCTTCAAAAGTGATTATCTGGTTCACTAGCCTAATAACTGGAATGTTAAAACACTAGTCTCTCCAGTACTAAAAACCATCCTAACCGAAAGTGTTCAGACACACATTAGCACAGTTGTACAAAAAATGACCTTAGCTGTCTTGTTAGGGTTAAGACAAACATCTGGTCTCTGACTCTATTGTGCATGAAATATGTGAGATGAATACCAAAAAAAAAAAAAAACTACTGCATCAGCCACAGCAAACATGATCTGTATTAATGAGACAATGACTGTCATGTATGGGTGAAATATCTTCATAGCCCACATAAAGTAACCACTTTCCCTGCCAGGCTGCGGGGGAAACTGAATAGGGAGATTGTTTGAATTCAGCCCAAAGAATCTGCTGCAATGCTGTTTGCATTCTAATTGAGGGTTTAGTAAACGCAGAGCAGATGCAAGTTGGTAAAATGGCAGATTTTCAGCAGACAAGGAGCTGAATATGAAATTAGAACACATGGAAAGCTGCTAATCAGTCTGTTTGGTGGGATTACAATAAGTGCATTAATATTGAGATCCTCCCAGATGCATACTTGGATAAAATTTAGCTCTCCCTACTTTAACATAGTGCATCTATGGAACAAAAGACATGAATTATCTCCATTGTGGCAAAGACAAACAAGAGAGGCTGGCTCAGAAAGACCGGGTGATGGAGTTGAATGGATTTTAGATATGGTGCAGTGCCCCCTATGTACTTGAAACCAGACTGCAACTCATTTGTGTAATTTCTTTGAAACAGATGGACAGTTCATTTTCAGCCATTACCTAAAATGTGGTGAGTTATAGGAATTATACAGATGATGTGGACTGAGAATGTGAATACTCCAAGAGGTATAGAACGTAAAAGTAGTTTGAATGGAGAAAATGTATTCCAGACAACACACTGTCAGTATACTGTATGGTGGTACATTTTCCATAGTGAGTCAAGACTTTTATCAGCTGACCTACATACGATGTTATTTAAAGGGCTCATATCATGGAAAATCTTACATTTTGGAAAGTTCAATGTAGGATGAACCACTGCTAAAGTTTCAAAATATACAGTTGACACTCCACTCGTTGCAGTCCATGTATCGTTGTGTCCAAAAAAGTCTGCTTTTTTTTTCTACATCACAAATACAGAACACAGCAACTCTCCTTTATACTGTGTAAACATTTCATGATGAATGGACCAAAATAAAAAATGTTTCAAAAGAACTGTATAGATATATAGACTTTATTACACTAATTGATGTGCATTATGTTTTTGCCTTCTTTTGTAATGTTACTACTTTGGACAGTGATGATAAATACAGACCATTATGAATGAACTGTTTTTGTGATGTCATGAAAACATATTTACATACATCTGCCTATTCAGCCTAAAGCAGTGTGGCTCCACTCATTTATGCTGAAAATAAGGAGTGTTTCAGACTGCTTTTTGGATGATGCAAAATACAGGGCAGCCAATCAGAACAGACATAATTTACATATATCAGCCTTAAAGGCTCAGTAACAGCCTTTTTAATCCTATGAAGTAAAGAGAGGTAGGAAAATGGCCAAGTAAAAATGAATCATGATTGTTTTTGGTACATAAAGCTACACATATGCACCTCAGGAAACAAAGGAAAAAAAATGGATATGGGCCCTTTAACTAACCTTAGCATAGTATGGAATTTATAGTACAACAAAGAAACTGGCCTCTGTGTGATTAAACAAAATCATCCATCGGGAATGCTGTATACATGTGAACGAGTAAAATGTAACTTTACCAACAGCAGGAGCGTTGATGCAGAGCTCTCTGGCCAACAGCAGGAAAGTTTTGCCCAGGATATAAACATTCACCTGAAAAACAGCCAGAAAACGTGAGACTGAACTTCACTGCTGCCTTCAATATCTGTTCAAGAGAATCTATAAGTATTTCTTTACCATCTTTGATTCACCATCTAAGTATATGAGACTGACTTTACATAGAAGCTCACTTTCTTAAGATCTATAATACATTTCACTTTACTTTAAGTATAACACTAATTCAAATTGCATTGTTTACTGCTTATGGCACAGTAAGGCCAGTCTAAAATCAAAACTTGCAGTCTAATTTTTACACTTTTTCTCCAGTTAAGAAAGAAGTGTACAGTATGTGCAGGGCACTTTGGGCAACCCAGTAATGTACAGAGGTCACAACCTCAGCAGCAGGTCTCTAGTTAGCCTGGCATGCCCAACAGGGTGGGGTGCTGTCAGAGCTGGGTGTGGCTGCACTTGCTTAGGATTCATAGCATATTTTACCCTGGCTCAAACCCACCCTCTTAACTTCCCTTCAACACCAGAAAGGGTTCAAGGGTCTATGCTCTCAGGACAGCTGAAAGAGTAAAAATAAGTGTAACGCCAGCTGTGTAGTCCTGAAATGCCTCCCCCTGGAACCACTAGCATTAAGGGCTATGCGGTGTATGGTGTGTACAGAGCTGATCTGGCAAACAACCATTTGGTACAACAATAGCAGTATGTTCCCAGGCAATGTCAACATGTATCATTCACTTCCTCAAACCACATGTACAGAATGTCTAGCGCTGTGTGTAGTCTTGTATTTCTGTTTCTGTAGAGTTGAAAGCTTTCATTTACATAGCGAGGTCCAGCTGAGACCAAAGCCTAATGCTCAGCAGGGCCCCGTCTCATAAGAAATGCAAACATCTGAAAATGATAAAATCTGAAAATATGAGACAGACATGCAACTAAATAAAACATGCAACTTTTCAGGGGGCTACATTTTAGTATTACTCATTTTCATACAAGAAATCACTTTACATCATACATCCTGTTTTGAGGATATGATTATTTTTGACTTTGTTAAATGTCCAAATGTTTGTAGACACTTGCTCATCCAACTCATCATTTCTTCTGAAATCAAGGGTATTAATAGGGAGTTTGTCCCCCTTTGCTGCAATAACAGCCTCTACTCATCTGGGAAGGCTTCTAGATGTTGAAACATTGCTGTGAGGATTTGATTGCATTCTGCCTCAAAAGCACTGATGAGGTCAGGTACTGATGTAACTTGGCTTGTTCATTTATTCTTTTTTAGTTACTGTGCCTTTAAGACTGCAATAAGTAAATGACCTCTGTTCAGAATGGTTTCCCTGTATTGTAGCTCATTCAAAAAGCAGTCTAGGCTGAAACACTCCTTATAACTTTAACATGAATTGATGGAGCTTGAATGCTGTAGAATGAAGAGGCAGATGTATGTAAATGCATTGTGACATTACAAAAGCAATTAATTGAATACAGGCTGTTTTTGCAAACTTCTTTTCCATATATGGACTGTGGTCTAGGAAGCGAATGGTAAGTTTTGAAACCAACAATGATTGTTTACATACTATATAACTAGCAATGATATGCCATATTTTATCAAAACTAGACAATAAAGGACATAATTAGTGGAGCAAATGCAACAAACTAATTTTAGGCCTGCTACAAGATATTTTTGTGCCATTACAGATAGGTTATACACACTGTATGTCTAAAAGTATCCAGACAACAGTTGTAATTAGTGAATTCTGCTAATTTAAGCTTCACTCATCGCTGACACTGGTGTTCAATCACACTTCTAGCGTCAGCTATAAGGGTATAAAGCCCCCAGGCATTTAAACTGTGCTTGCTGGAACGACGGCACTCCTTCCAATACCCCTGCGATGAGTCGGAGTGGCATTTATGATCCAGAACTAATCAATGAACATCAGTACATTTATTTTTTAATTTATTTTACATCTGGCAGACACTCTTACCTAGAGCAATCTACAATGTAACCATGTTAAGAGGTGGATAAACATAGCATTATGAGCCTTTGCAAAGGGCTCTATAAGGTATAACATGGTACACTTGCCCATGCAGGGAATCAAAGCCCACTCTAGCATGTGGAGGACTGTCCTATTACCCACTGCACTATCCAAGTTGTTAAACAAGAATTATACACCTAGACCATTTCATTAATTCTACAAGATTAAAAAAAAATCAAGTAAAAATGAATTGCGACTGTTTTTGGCACATAAAATCATATAAATGTCTTACGTAGCCCTCGGGGAAATAAATAAAACACAAGAAAAATGTAGGTTATGGCCCATTTAAGACCTAATAAAACATCTGAAAGCCAACCTGTAAGAGATCACTCAGGTCCAGGAGCATGTCTGCAGGTGAATTAAGGAAGAATGACAGCTATTCCAACCAAGAGAAGACATGCAATGCTAATAATCAACAAACAAAAGAGATGAAAGAATGTCACTGCTTCAGAAACATTATATATTCAGTGAATATCTGCACCCATTAATGTCATTAATGCAAATCCAATATCTCTGATGCAGTAATTGTCACTTTGGATTAGTCAGGAATTCAGATTAATCTTTTCAAACCACCTTTGCGCGCCCGCAGGCCCGAGGCGATGTCTGAGCCTTCCAACGAGGAAGGGATTCACCCTGTCCGTCTGCCACCACTACTCACCTGACAAGCACAGGCTCACTCACACCTGTGGCATGGAGTGTCTCCATGGTGACTAATTCCTTTTAAGTACAGTAGTGAGAGATTAGTACCACTGAAAGGGAAAGGCTAATCCTGTCTTATCAAGAGATAGTGAAGGCGATCAGTCTAAGGGCCTTAATTACGGCACCGATCTCGATAAGGATAACACATCAGTTTTGGGTAAGTGTCGCTCACAGCCATGTAGGGAAAATCTGCATACAAACTAGGCAAATGCAGAGAGGTAGATCTGGAATGCTATTGCTGACAATCTAGCATAGTGCATTTTAAATTTGGTTGATCTAACTATGCACAGTAGAATTTGATTTTATTTTTTATTATTTAAATGGAAATTCCATCATTTTTTATCAAAATTTCTGCATAGTTAACAGGCTAAGACGTAAACAAAGAAATTCAGAGCAGAATGATTTGAAACAATTAATTCCAAAGAAACACAGTCAGAATTGTTGACACTGGTGGTGAAAGGAACCAAATGTTTGAAGTGTTTAATGCCTCTGATAGCACAGAATGCACCTCACACAAAGTTATTACACAAAATGGTTTTGAACACACTGCCTGATGCCCAAGACATTGTTTTACAACAGTTATACAATAGTTATCTCTACAATAAAGATAAGGTTTTGCAAGGAAAAAGCAAAAACTGTACACAAGTAAAACTAAATAGTTTGGATTATACCATTATTTTACCATAATTAACATCATAGATAAAAGTTCAGATTACACATATTTGTATATATTTTGTATAGTCAATAAAATCAAAACCCCTATCCTATCCCTTCCTATTGTGACCAGTATAAAGAAATCAGAGTCAGCAAGTTTCTCTGTAATGTAACCTTTCACGTCAAACCATTCTGAATGATTTTGTTTGCATCTTATTTAGTATTAATTAAACAACATCACCAGTATTATTATTATTATTGTTGTTATTATTATTGATTGTGCTGTAAGGCTTAGCTGGAGTTTACCCTGACTACCAAATGAGCCGTTCCCACTCCTCCGGGACGGACTACCACACCCCGGTGGAAGCAAATCAAGCACAGAACGCTCACTGCTTCCGCACAAGAACAGTCTTAGGAACAGGGCGGGACAGGGATAGAGGGTATTAGGTGCATGTTTATGCTGTGTGATGTAACATTGTGCTCTAGTAGGACAGAAAGGCTTGAGCACAGAGCAGTGAGAGGTTTTTCACAAAAGAACATGAAATACAGATATGCAACGAACAATGAAACATGGTAAACATGGAAACAAATGAATTTCTCCCTGACAAGCTGCCGTCAGTTAGACCTGACTCTCTACTTCATACTGCAGATCATAAAGGCTAATGAATGCTTTAACACAGAACCTATTTGTTCACACTTGGAAATGCCCATCAAAGATTCTATTTTAGATCATTCAGCATAGCAAGCACAAGTTTAAGAGTAAAGTTAGTATGTGAAGCTTTCTTCAATTACACGCATGGTGGGCCACATCATTGCATGGGTTGAGTGTTTTCTCCATACCATAACATCTACTCCTGAAGGGTTTAATAGCAAACCAGTGAAGTAAAGATCAGCATGAACAACAAAACATTGTGCAGCACTGTAGCCTTCCATGACTGGTATAAAGAATGCTAATGCTTTAGTTTTGATTACACACACAAAAGCTAAAAGGAAATTTAGAAATCATATATTTTCAAAAACATTGATGAGCCAAAACATTATGACAGATGTAGCGAATAACGTTATTTATTTCGTAACAATGGCGCATGTCAGGGACTGGGTGTGACAACACAGTGCATTGCACCCTGCTGCGTAAGGGGCTGCGTATCTGCAGGTCAGAGTGCCCATGTTTTCTTTTACATCACATAGATATCCAGGTACATGGCCGCTGTTTACCTGGGGACGTGATGGCACTACAATGCACTGCGGCCAGAAGACAAGCCGGTGGAGGGAGTGTGACGCTCTGGGCAATGTTCTTCTGTGAAACCCTGGGCATTCATGTGGACATCAATTTGACATGTGTCAACAACCTAAACATCATCGTATACCAGGTACACCCCTTCATGACAACAATACTCCTTGATGGCAGTGGCCTCTTTCAATAGGATAATGTACCCTATCACACTGCACACTTTGTTCAGGAATGGTTTGAGGAACATTTCAAAGAGTTCATGGCGTTGTCCTGGACTGAAATTTTTCAGATCTCAATCCGATCGAGTAGCTGTGGGATGTGCTGGAACAACAACAAGTGAGACCTGGGGTAGCTCCGTCTTGCAAATTAAAGGATTTGCTGCTAATGTCTTGGTGCCAGATACCACGGGACACAGAGGTCTTGTAGAGTCCATGTCTTAGCAGGTTGAAGCTGTGTTGGCAGCATGTGGAGGACCAACAGCATAATAGGCCAGTGGCCATAATGTTTTGGCTCATTGGTGTACAATCAGTACTGATGGAGGCCCCGCACTGGAAACATGATATCTTGGCAAGTGCAATTGTCTCAAATCTAGTCAAAATATATCTAATATTTTTCATTTTGATTGTTGTAATAATATTATAAGGTTGTTCAAATTCTCGATTTCTAGACATTTTAAGCTATTTTTTCTAGTGACATTGTTTTATTATTTTGCAAGATCTTTTTGCTTGTTTCTGGCAAGACAATTTCATTAGATAAAAGGACTTTAAACCAAATAAAACATCTACAAACAAGTTGAATAATCATATTCTAACAACAATCTCAGAAAAAAAAAAATATTTAAGATGTTTAAGATTTATTTAAGATGTTTTACTTGTCGACATGTAATTTTTTTGCAGTGCAAATGCCATCAAAGTGCAAGAGGTACGTTTTGGTAATCTTACAACTCAGTGTGACAGCAAACCATTAGAAAGAGCTCATCTTGACATTTTGTTTAGCAATGAAATAAGCAAGACCACAATGTTTTTAGACTGTTCATAGCAGACTGTTATTAGCATACACTTTTTGGAAAGCTATTAAATTCGTAATTGCTTATATGCAATAACTGTTTATGGTTTCGCCATTCACAAATTCTTGCTACTTTCAACATCCCTGCTGTGTATGACAGGAAGGACTAACATAATTGTGATAGTTTCTGAGGGGAAAGAGAGGTGTGACTCTAAAAGTGAGCAGATGGGCTTTATTCCATGGTTTACTCAGTAGAGGAACACAGAACGATCATAATCCTGGAGGTGTAGTAAACACCCCCCAGCTCTCACGGCATCTCCCAGCACGGCTGCTTTCTGCCTGCCTCACCACGGGACACACTGCTGACAGAACAGCTTCTCAGCTCATTAAAGATGATCCTGTAAACGTGCGACATATCCGTTTCCTGATGCTGTTAGTGATAATGAAGCATTAGGAGCAAAGTGCTGCAAATAAAGGACTTGCTTAAAACATGGTAACTGTAAATACATTCATGCTTATGAAAAATGCCACTTCAGCAGGGGTGAAAAAAGTATCGATGCACAGCAATGTATCAGTCTGAAGGCTGTCATTTGATTTTAGAATATCAGAATCAATTATAATCAATTCTACACAAAGTGAATCAAATCATAGTCAAATTTAACAGTTCATGATGCAATTGAATTGTTTCCTAAAGAACTGTGTTAAAAACTAATTGTTGTGAGGGCAGAGGTTTAGTTCTTTGGAGTTCTTTGGAGCTATGCTATAGGAGAACCACCTTTGGTTCCCAAAGAACTTTTCAGTGTTTGGTTCTTTAAATGTATGCCGCATTGTTTTGTAATGTAATCTCTATCTGTTGCTTATATACTGTACAATCACTTATCATGTACAATAATTTAGATGCTTCTGCCTGTGCTAAGCATAAGAACACGAAACTAATAAACTCAAAACACACTAACAGGCAGAGTTAACAGGTTTTCTGCTTTTAGCAGGGCATATCATGGAAAACAGGATTTTTTAAATGAAAGATTTTCATAAAGTATATAAACAATCTTAAAATTGAAAAACTTACAGTTCACTCTCCAGTCCATATAGCTTATATATGTAAACTAAACTGCGCTTTTCATTATTGTGATGTTATGTGTGATGTGTGTGATGTACTTAGTTAAAGGGCTCATGTCCACTTATAAAGTTTGAGTGGGTTTATGTACCAAAAACAGTAAAAATTCTATTTTTTATGACCATTTCCACCTCTCTTTATCCCTTACTATTGAACAGGCTGTTTTGTTACTGAGCCTTTAAGACTGATATATCTAAATGAACTCTGTTTTGCACTGTATTGTGCCACATTCAAAAAGCAGTCTGGGCTGAAACATATCTTATAGCTTCAGCATGAATGGGTGGAGCTAAATTGCTGTAGGCTGAATAGGTGGATTTATGTAAATGTGTTGTTTTTTGTGACATCACAAAAAAATTAAAAATGGTCAGCTAAGTTTCTGCATATGGGCTGTATGGACCAGAGAGTGAACAGTACAGTAAGTTTGAAATTTTAACATTGTTTATACACTATGTAAAACTCTTCTATTTTGGAAAAGTGAGGAAAATTCAGTTTTCCGTTAGATGAGCCCTTTAAAGAGTATAAAACATGTTGACGGCAAATATAGCCTATTCACTTCTATTACACTTGAGTTTGAGTTTTCCCTTCTTTTACTAAGTACAGGAAAACACATCTGAATTATTGCAGGTTGAAAAATGCTGGACTATTCTTTTAAAGAACCACCCACTGAAAGGTTCTACTTTTGGTTCTTTTATGGCACCACACCAAAGAGCGTATGTAGACTGCTTTGAGTTCCACACCTGAACTGTGTGAGGATGATTTGAGGAAGGATACGGGGTGTGCCTTCCGTCCGGCAGACCAGATAGAGGCAAGCGGCTATGACATGGGTCATCTTGCGTCCTCTTGTCAGGTGCTTGCTCACCACCATCTTGAAGAAGTTGAAGGCCGTGTCCAGGCAGTGCTGGTTTAGTTGCAGCTGGCTCCCCAGACTGTGTATTTGCCGTTTCCCTAGAGACAGGACACACGCACGTACTTGAGCGTAGGCAAACATGTGCGCACACACATACACACCGAAGCATGACTTCACATGCAGGTGTTTGGTTTTCCAGTAGCAGTGATGTCATGAGAACGATGCACAACTAGACAGGCTTTTTTAATGGGACTTGGAGGAGCTTCCCTGGGCAGAGAGACAGCTGTTTTACTCCCCAGAGTGAGACCATCTGCAACCTTGTCTCATTCTTTCACGCTCACACACACAGTCTGAGAGTGTGTTTCCTCAATCACACACTGGTGATGTAGGCCAAGTCGTAATTCATTTGACACATTGAATAAATCAGTCTAGGCCAAATCCCACAGTATGTCTGCATGTGTTTAGCTTATTGAAATTAGGACTTAAAACTATGGTGCGTTATCTTGCGACTGTACTGTATTACTTAGCACTAGGGCTGAATGATATTGGGAAAAAACCACATTGCAATTTTAGGTTTTTGTGATAAATACTGTGTAAGTAGTGTAAATTTGTAAAAGAATAAAAGAGTCAGAATTTACCCAGATTAACTATTCCTAAGTGGAGCTAATGATCACTCTAACACTAGTAAGAATCAAAGTAGATCAATGTTCTGTCAAACTACAACTGTATTCCTTTAATACTTAACAGTGCTGCACAATTCATACAAAATAATGAGATTGTACTGTAGTGCTATATATTGCAATTTAGGTGTCAAATGTACATATTTTGTTGATTTTTTAAGTGAAAATAAGTTAATATATCCTCCACAAAGAACGATTCTGCACATTTTAATGCAAAATTGCTGTTTATTTGCTGAATTGAACATACCGTGGACAAAATAAAATATATAAAGTGGTCTGTGCAAATGTTATAGTACATTTTTATTTGATACTAATATGTTAAACTCAGCAAATAAATAGAGCTTGTGCACTAAAGTTAGCAGATGAATACCATATTGAAGTGTGCTCTCTGTAAAGGATGTATTAATTTCACTTAGAAAATCAACAAAATATAAATTTGACTGGAGGTAGGGGTGGTTAATATGACAATATTTTGTCACTTTTGTAATAAATTATGTCACAAGTTTTTCTGAGCATATCATGAATATTGTCAGTACTTAAAGAACACTGGCTCACTGCATGTGATTTAGTGCAGTTTGTGAAACACTGAAAAATATTCATTGCAGTTGTAGACTTATTATTATTTTAGTATTTTTTATACGTGGCACCACAAGTTCTCTTCTGTCTGTTTCAACTTACCAATTTTTTAAAAAACAACATTGTGATGCATTTTATTCATAAACTCATCATATCATAAACATATCTTAAAGTGTCATGATATAATATTTCCGCCATATTGCCCATCTCTAACTGAAGAAATTCAAACATTTGCCTGCAGCTGTATATTAAAACACACAGGCGATAGTAGACAGATACAATGGTAGACACTCAGGCCACCAAGCCAATGAATCTTGTGGCCACAATTATAAAAAAAATTGCTTATTTCATACAATGTATTTACAATAAACAAGCATGCTTCATTATCAAAAACCCATCAGGTGTTGCTTTTTGCTATGATTCCCCCATGTCCACGAACCAGAGGATGATGTGTAGGGAGTCCTTGTTGTTCACAATATAGACAGCCAATCTGAAGAGTTTTAGCATTAGATCCCGCTGACCCACCTGCATCTTCCTCTTGTTTTGATCAGTCAGCCCTGCATACTGTGTTTTCTAAACAAGTTACTCCTGGTAAAGAATGAACTTTCTAATTCTTTTTTTCATAGTAACCATCGTTATCCAATTCTTTTTTTAAAATTATTAAAGCCATATTTTAGCAACCCAGCAATCTCAACAGGCCACAGAGAAATGCTAATTCTAGAACGACGTTGCCACTTGCAGTCATATTAGCTATTGCTGTGGTAACATTAACATTACAGTTACAATATGAAATTAGTTTTTGTGCTATCTGGATTATCTGTACCAAAATTATGTACTTTTGGTGAATCACATGAATGCCTATTTATCTAAACACCAACAGAAATTCAACAGAATATCTGAAGGTCAGAATGGTCATAGCACAAAATAAAAAAATAATACCCTACAGAGCTCATTTGCATATGGCAACCGTCTGCAATATGAACACTGCAATGCACTATCATGATAATATTGAGCAGCACCATTTTGCATGTTTTTATCTCAAGAACCTTCAACTTTAAATAAAACCGGTGTCAACACTGCAGGGCACAGGCATGGACGTGCATTAAACCATCTAGCCTTGGTGGAAGGAGTCCGTTATCAGACACGAACATTAAAGCAGATGTGCGGAAGAGACAGAAACAAATGAAAAGGTGGAGTCCATCTCTCAGCTCCCCCGGCTTGGTGTTGAAGGGCTGCAGAGCAGAGCAGCGCGTCAGCATGCCAGACGCCAAAAATAACTCTGAAAGCTTTTAAGAGTGTAATCCCTCTATTCTGGAGCCAGTGTGTGCCGGCCCTGCCCTCTTGCGCTCTCTTTTGCACTCCTCCGGCCTGCCGGAGCTCTGCATGGTTTTCATACTGCACGCGCTGCCAGGATTAGCGGGCAGCTCCGCCGCAACCTGGGCACGTGCGTCTGCGTGGCGGCAGGATTACGTAACTGCAGCAAAGGAACACTGGCTTTCTGACTGAGCCCTGGGAGCAGCTAGCACACTGGGCGACAAGCATCTCTACTCTTTCATAATGGACTAAGCCTCTCAGAGAAATGGACCTTTGAAAAAACTTCTGAAAAGTTTCCCTTATCCTTACAATTAATTAGATACATACGGTAACATTTCAACTTCTAAAACTTAAGAAAGTTCTATGTGTGATTATTAAAAGATTATTTATATGTTCAAGAAATAATGGAAGTATAGTCTACCGGGCTAAGATTAGGCCCATATATTAGCCCCCCACACTTTTGCAACTTAAAACTCTAAAGTCAGGTATAAACTTTGTCTGTGCCCTTTAAGTACACTCATTTGTCAGGTTCTTATTTGGACCACTATCACAATAAATGTCATTATAAACTGCAGCTCATAAGTTTGTGCAGTTCTGTAATTTCACAGAATGGAATGAAAGGACATTTATTTAAAAAAGCTCAAACATGTGGTCCAATCCCACCAACTTTCATTTAAATTCAAATGGTCCTAATACTGCATTTAAATACTTTTCAGAAAACACTATAGTTTATATAAATGTGGCAATTTAAAATAGAAGCTCTTTGGCAACTGTAAAACATATTACCTTTTCTTGTAATCGCAGAAAAAAAGACTATTAGAATAATAAATCAGTGCTAAGCTTTACACAGACTATGCTAAATTATATTGTTAAATTTAAAGTGAATAGGATATCATTACACATTTCCCTCCGTATTGTGACACGTCTGATATTTTTGAGTGAAACACAGTATTAGGGAGAGTTTCTGAGCTAGCTGAATATTTTGCTCAATATATGATAGGTGAGAGTTAGAGATTTTAATGGTTAACATTTTTTCCGTGTGCTGGTTTGTGGAGACCTAATCAGACCATGTTTTTAGCAGCATGCTCCGTAGTTGGCTATGTTAGCGATCAAATGAAAAGTCTGAAGTCACTGTATTGTGTTACATGCTCATAACATACTACCACAACCATGCAAAAGTTCACTGTTAACTAGCATATTGATGGCATAGTATCGTATTGTATTTCAGTATTCTGAAAGAAACTCAACAACTCTCAAAAACTGTGGAATAGCATGTGGTTTAGATGTATGAGTTGCCTATTATCCCTTCTGTTAACTAGAGTTTGGTAGAGGCCTTTTTGGCATAATTTTCATGTGTGCGCTAAACACTGAGGTGCAAAAGAATGAGAGAGTTAATGTAAACCACATTAGTAAGCATATAATAACTAAGGTCATTAACATAAAAAACAATGTGAGACCTTGTTTTTTTTTATACAAGTTTCATACATGTATACATTAGAGGTACATATTGCTTTTTTAGCTTTACAATATGATACATTTTCTATACAGATTTAGAAAAGAACGCTAACATAACATTTATTTATCTATTTATCTATTTTTTGGTTAATTCTGAACTTTTTGGTCCCAAAAAAAACAACAGTGCTTGTTGAAGGGATAATGCTTAAGTTAGCTTCTAAAGTGAATCCTCCTCAGGCTCCAGAGTGTTACTGCTGCACCTTTTAAGGTGGAATAGAAAATTTGGGTAAAAAGCTGGTAAATAAGGCGCTTCAGCTTTGTGCAAGGTAGCCTAAGCAAAACGTTTTTTTCCAGTTCTGTGCAGCAGTATTTTTATGTTTATGGTTAAAAATTTTAGAACAATAAATAGAACTACATAAACCATTCCTGGTATCATGCATTTTATAGCATGAATTCTAACCGTTTTCAGTACACAGAGCGTATCATCTCACAACCCCTGTATAAAGAATATTAACATTAACATATGTATCTTGAAACCCCTAGTATACATATATTTTCAGCTGAAAATAAATGTGTAAATATAGTTGAATAACTAACTAAATACAATCAACCCTTGTTGTGTGGTGTTCAGGTCTGTGGGACCCATTTTCAAAAGAAAAAATGCAATTTATTATTATTTCAACCACAGATTCCTTGGCCTTTGCTCATTTTCTGTGAAGAACATATAAAATAACACATTTTCAGTGATTCACACTGTTCACCCCCTACACATTTATATTGCACGTGTGGTGTGCAGGGGTGCCCACGGGGAATGAAAGTGTGGAGGTGCTGTGTCCCTTCATTCTGTTCTCCTCCTACATGGCCTGCTGTTAGTGTGTGTGTGTCTGTGTGTGAGGGTGGACAACATGGACAGGCTGCTGACTGGCTACAGCTGCTAAAGGAGACCCCTACGCTGGCCACTTGTGATATTTTAAACATCTAGTATTTTTACATACATTGTTATGACTGTATTGATTTAAAAAACAATAATGTGGTGGGTCCACCAAACCACTGAATAACAAAAACATGAACACCACACAAGGGTTAAGCAGTATAAGTGGAGTTAAATCAGTGTATGGAACAGTAATAGCAGTTTGCAACAGCAGTATGGAAAAATAGAGGGAATTGAACAAACGAAAGGAAAAAAACAACAAAAGTTATGGGTAAATAAATAGCAAAGAATTCCTGAAAACTGACTGATTTTAAATTGGCTGTTGGTATAATACCCATATCTGATATATTTTTCACTATGTGAAGTTGGTCACTTTTCTGCAAAACGTTCTGCTTTAAAAAGTTAAGTGAAGTGTCTGTTAGTGAGTCATGTTATACAATTTCATGTGATATCTCTGAGCTCTGTGTAAAGTGGTACACTGCAACAATGCAGCACAAACAGTACTATCTTAGTTCGTTCCGAATATATATGCTTAATCATTCATTATCTAGGATTTGTTTTTAACCTCCATTATGTGTTATATCAATCATGATAACAATTTTTATATAACATCATAAAGTCCCAGCCAATTTTATCTCAAACTCTGCATAGTACAAAAAGGTCAAACATAATGGCATAATGACCATGACACTGTTGGCATATGAGCTTGAGTAACTGAACCATTGAACTGCTGTCAGTAACAGGGCAGGCACAAATGCTTGCTAGACATCGTTCATCACTGCACCAGGACAGGCCTTTTAATACTAGTGTGTGCAGAATACAAACATCTGCAAACAACTAATTAAATTACAAGCTGTCAGGTGATGTATGTGACCTTCATCCTTTAAAACCTCATCAGAGGTACTAATAACCTTCAGTCCTCTTTGTCTCAGAAGGGGAGCAAGAAAGGGATTGATTACTCACCATTCTGAAGCGTCTGAGCCCGTGACTCCTTTCCGAGGCTTGTATGGAAGCCGCTGCCCAGGACTGGGGCCTTTGCAGGACCTGTATAAAAATATTCCACAAAACCACATCAACTAGCTTATAAAAGACATGCCAAACCACAAGGCAGAGTTAGGCCCACCTGCAGTAGGAGCTTATTTGAACAGGTGCTGTTCATCATGTTGTAGTAGGCTCAAAAAAACCCCAAAAACATTTGAAAGCATGTAATTCCACGGAAAAGGTGAAGTTGTTCAGACTTAATTTTTTTGATTATACATACAATTTTAGTTCGCTATGACCTGACCCAGATATTTAACCACACAAAAGTATAGATTGACCAAACACATATGGTAGCAGTCAAATGTCTGGACACACCTACCTACAGCAGGGGTTTCTTTATTTTTAAAAACAATGAAGAAACTAAAAGAATGAAGAATAATCAAAGGTGTGAAATAACATGTGGAGTGACCAAAAAAGAAAATCTAAGTAAACAAATCAAAATTGTCTCTATGCTTTACAGGCTTCTAAGAACACCCCCTCTCCCATTTCTTTGATGCTGCTTTACACCCTCTTGGCATTCTCTCAAGCAGCTTTCCAAGGAGCCACCTGGGTTGATTTTTCCACATGGACTAAAGAATACATGCTTGGCATGCAAAGAAATACTTATTCAGTGGGAGATCCAAAAAATCCTTGCCTTTAAAATAAATGTATACAAAGGCATCAGCTTCAAATTTTAAGCATTTAAGCATATGTCGCTAGGTCAAAATGCTTGAAAAAAGCATACAGTACATTCAGTCATGTGCTCAGACTTCAGACTGGTATTGTACATTTACACTGTCACTCCATCTGGTGGATTCCAGTGCGAGGAGCGGATTTAATCAGAAAATACAACACTGCCCCCTTTTGGATACTGAGCAAACCTGCAGGCATTTCAGTCTCAACCCTCAAATACAATGACATCCAACACCAGATTAAACCAGCCATGCTAGGCTGCACCTTATAAGACATTTTGTCTAGGGACACCTCAACCATCTAATTGTATGTATGGAGGACTTTGATCTATCTGTTCTGAATACATTTAACATGCTGAGAGAATTAACCATATAATAGGTTCAATAGATTCTATTTCAAGAGTTTTTAAAAATGATTTTGGCCTTTTTTATGAAGTCCATCCCACAGGTTTCAACAGCTGTGCTATTATCTTTGTGATTTATCGTAAGAGGTGTTAAAGAACAGAACATGTATCATTTTGTACCTCTCCCGGGACTGAGATTTGACTGCTTTGCACTTGTTTGAATGCTGCAAGCAGGGAAGTTTTTTCTCTCAGGCAGAGGAACATAGATAACTGAAGCTAGTTCAACTAGCTGTCAAGGTGTCAAGGTAACAGGCAAACAACAAGATGATCCAAAATGTTTTGGTAAATATTTTTAAATACTCATTCATAATTCACACAATATCCCGAGGATATGTTGCTGTTGAACTGTTTTTATGCTTGCGGTTGTACAAGACTGAAAACTGATGTATTTCTATGTCAGTATCTGGGTTTTGTGTTGATAATTCCACAGTGTGTCCCAGATTGTTTAGGAAATACATCTTGCTGCATTACTCAAAAGTACAGCTTATTAGGCAGGCTAAAGATATTTTCCTATTTTTGGATATTACATGTGGTTACAATGAAGTGGAGCTGTGATATGCCTTGCACCCTCATATAATAGACAACACTTCCCTCTAGCTTAAGTGGATCTTCTTGCCAATAAGACCAATTTTGCTCTAGGGCTGCAGTGCCAAAGCCTGGCTAGAGGAAAGTAGTTTGTGTAAATTTTCAACACTGACTGCTCTTTCTGAGCAACATTATTCCAATATAATGTGTCAGCTGTGAAAATGTGATATTCATTTAAATGTTAAGTCTAATTCACTCTGTGAAATTTAAGTGATTATCTCTCAAGTGAAAATTGCACACTGAAGTCACACATGGTGATCGTATCAGTAAAGCATGAAGTGAGCTTTACTCACCAGAAAACCAGCCACCTATAGGAATAATGTCAGTGCAACACATGGCTGATTACTAATGCCTAAACAAACTGCCTTTCTACTTAATAATCTGCTTACTAGAAATCTCATTTAAACAACAGCAATAAAACACACTGGAAAGTGGGGCAGCACAATGCTTCATGTTAATCATTATCACGATACTGGCCTTTCCAGTAACAGTGATTTCACAGAAAATGGTGATATGCAAATTTGCCTTCTAACTATTAATTGTGTGCAGTGAGAATCTTGATACATCAGTGAATTAATGTAATTCAACAAAAGTAAATAATTTTTGTCAAAACAATGCTGGTCAATCTATAACCACATAACTGATTCACCATAATATAGCATGACTTTGCTTTTGAATTTTAGAAATATTTTAGCAGTATATTTGATAAATAATGAGTATTAAATCCATGATGCTGGATAATGTGCTTACTGCTAAGTGCTTTAGTTTTTAAAGAGACCACAATAAAATTCTGGGATTTTTTAGGTTTTAGAATAGTAAAAAAGTAAAATAACTAAAAGTCATGACAGGCCAAGTCAAGATTCTGCACTATTTCTCAGTCATCATTCAAATTTAATCACATTTTGAAATTGACCATTTTGCACAAACTTGTGCAGCCCATGGCTCGAGAGCAAACTGACATTAAAGTGAAAGGGAGACATAATAAGTACTAAGAATTTCCTAATAATTATTTCAAATATTTAAAAGATTCTACTTTTCACTCAATTTATCATGTGATAATATAATTTGTAATAAAAAAACTGTGTATTGCATTAAGAAAGAAAGCAAAATAGAGACACTTTCACTAGTGATCTTTGACATTTGACCCCGATGCATGTCATTATGTGGGTGCTTTAGACTGCTGCGAAAGAACCGTTTTAAGAAATCCATAAAAAAGTATGTGTTTGTGTTGGAAATAGATTTCCTCGTTAATGTTCACAGTACTGTGTAGGGTTTCTCTGATATCATTTTAAGAAAAGCAGTATTCAGAAAGAACTGTTCACCCCTTTTTTATTTTCTTTTATTTTCTTTTTTGTTCTTTTGATCCTTCCATAAACTGCTTTTCTGTAAAGCTGCTTTGAGACAGCACTAGTTATAAAAAGCGCTATACAAATAAATGTTGTTGTTGTTGTTGTTTATTATGAGTAACCTAAATATCATCTGATACCCATGATATATTTGGAAAATATCATGATAGTGAATTTTTTCAATATAGCAAACCCTATCATACCAGTATTCTGTCTGTGTTGTGCATTTCTACGAGAAAGTACTTCAAATCCGCTATATTTCTGCAGAGGGTGATGGCTTTCCACTTCACTATGTCACGCATCAAGTAAATGGCCTCAAGTGCAAGTGTAGAGAGCAAAGGAGGCAATGAGCAAGAACAAAACCAATAAAGAGTTATATTCTGTATCTTCTTCACCCTATTAATGGTTTACTATCAGCCGTAATCCAGTACATTAGCTTTTCATTTTCAAAGCCAATGACCTATACGAGAGAACATGTGTATACAGACAGCTGAGTGTGTCTAGAGGATACTTGTGCAGCTGATCAATAAACAATTACAGTGTACAACAAGAAAACCAAGCCAAGAAACAGCGCCAAGACCCCAATTAATGCTAACAATGGAAACCTGGAGCATCATAACAAGAATAAACAGGGAATTCAAAGGTTTTAATGATGCTGCATCTCAGAGAAGGATACTGTAACAGTCTCTTTCAAAATAGGAAAGACAGAGGAAAATACATACTGATCATAATAAGTGGGTTGAATTGTATGTGGTGTACACTGATCTGTGACTGCCTGATTGGAGGAAATGATTTGCAGGTGGTTGCACCACTGAAATGGAATCAGTCCCACTATTCTGGAGAAATCACTCGGCTCCAATTCTCCCCGCAAATCCAATAATTACACATCAACGTCAAGACAGGATTTATTATTCAAGACACACATGGTATAAGCAACCAATCAAATTTGCTTCACTCTGTTGCACAATGAAATTATATCAGATTCAGGTGTCATTGTAGAACTAATGATGGCTGACACAAATAATAATACAGTAAATAACTAACAATGGCACAAAACTAAAGCCCTTTTTTCCTTCCTACTGCCAGTAAACCTGTTTAACAGTGTCATGTTAAAGTCTGCAGTTCTATTAGGACGATTGCTAGGGTTAACATTTTTAGGACGATAGTGGAGGAGGAGATGCATGATGGCTCACAGTAATACATTAGGAAATAGAATTAATGCATTATATATATTGGCATCCCGGTAAACAAGAGCAAAACATGCTGTAAAAAACATTCGTTATTGCTTATGCTTTTGATCTTTAGCTCATATCAAATATTAACAAAAATCTGACTGTTTTTGAGTTATAATGAATGAAAAAAAAACTAAATATTATCAGAAAATAAACATTTTTCTTACATCTGTGTGTTTCACAATTATTGGCACCCCTTCATTTAATACTTTGTGCATCTTCCCTTTGCAAAGATAACAGCAAGTCTTCTCCTATAATACTTAATGAGACTGGAGAACAAATGGCAAAGGATCTGAGACCATTTCTCCATTCAGAACCTCTCCAGAACCTTCAGATTTCAAGGTCTATACTGTGGACTTTCCTCTTCAACTCATCCCACAGGTGTCCTAAGGGGTTTAGGTCAGGGGACTGGGGTGACCATGGCAAAACCTTAATTCTGTGGTCAGTTAACTATTTTGTGGTGTGCTTTGGATCACCGTCCTGCTGGAGTCTGTGATACCATGTCTCCGAATAAATTCTAAAGGTTCTTTGTAATAATAATAATAATAATAATAATAAAAATAAATGTTATTACTGTTATTACTATTATTCCATTTATATATATCTACAGCTTTCCTTTCTATCTATCACATGTACTCTTGTAGCTTCTTCACACTCATGAAAGTATAGGGCTGTTAGGTGGTGAAAAAGCCTGCTAATGTTCTACCTTGTGATACAAAGTGACGATATAACTTGTTGTTTAGGTTTAGAAATAGAAGCCGAAACAGTCCCAAATAATTAAGCACCTTCTCCTTTGTGGAACTAATTCAATTATTGTTTTAACTCAGGTTCTTAACAAAATTTATTAGTGGTTCTTTCATTCATGCATTCTTGCATGTCATTAAGTTTTGGGAAGTAATATTTTTCAGTAAATTCAGGAGTAGAGCTCCACCTTTCTTGATTCTGAAATCTCTGAATGTGGTTTTATGTCAAGCTTTTTGGCATAAAGCCACATCCAGAGATCACATAACCACGAAAGGTGGGGCTCCAGGATTTACAACAACAGTGAATAAAGTAAATCAGATTACAATTATGCTTTCCATATGAAATTATGCTTTGCAATTTCCAAATTCTGAAAGTCAAAAAGAAATGTGAAAAAATCTACAGATTTTAATTCATCACTTCAGCAGGATTTGCTTAATAATGCAGACTCTACATGCAGCTCATTTGTTTCTTCATTTATTTGGATTGCCTGATTGATTGAAAGCCTCTATAAAGACACAATGCTTAAGCATATTAAACTCCTGTTGGTTGCCCGTTTTGTATTACTATACAGACTTTAAGCTCACTTGAAGCTCTGGTCAACGTGACCTTTTATGAATGTATATAGAACACAAAGTTCAAATGGAAATCTAACATCACCACTCATACAGTACTGTCTAAAATGCACCTGAAAAAATTATATATAAAGCTGTTTATCTCAGCAGTACATATTTATTTGTTAAAAAAACACTAATATTAGAACACAGAAAAGTCAGGAACCAAATGTATGTTCCTCTAACTGTATCCTTCTAACTATGATATCAATAACTTGTTTCTTTCTTGCTGTATTTTTGTATTCATTATAATGTTATATAGTGTTTTCCTCGAAAATACACACCTACGACTGAGATAAACAGTTTTAAACAATTTTCTTGGTTGCCAAAACCAAGACTTTTGCATGGTACTGTAAATGCAATAGACACTGCTCAAAATCAACATTTATAATTCAATAACATCATTTGTATTTTCAATTTAGCAAACCAGTACTGACATGCCATTTACACAGATATTGTTTTGAGTCACTACCTTGACGTAAATAAAAAAAAGGCCTAGATAGGCTATGCTTTTTTCTGTAGCATTAATTTTATTAAACATTTCTTACCATCTGCAGAAACAAACTGGCCGATGGCCGAGGCGCCTCCTCCGCTGTTTTCCACAAACTGGACCTCGGACACTATAATGTTGTCCTCCAACACAGACCCACAGGCCGTACATACAGCGCTACCTCTGGCCTGGTCAGTGTCGATGTCTGCTCCACCACAGTTCTTACACTGCCGAGAACTCATCCTGACGGGAGTGATGATGCAGGCACACCTGAGAATGAACACAAATTACAGTTTAATATTTGTCAACACGCCTAAAATGTACCATTTTATCTAAGATTTAAAGGACCCGTATCCTACTTTTTGCATTTTTTGTTTTTCCCTGGTAACTAATTTTTTCAGACCATTTTCGAACCCCTCTTTATCCTCAAACAGGCTGTTTCTGCTACGGTTCCTTTAAAGGGGAGTTCCACCGAAGTTTCTGAAATTACGTGTAAAAGCTCTTACACTGAATGTTGATAACGGTAAAATAGCGGAAAGGCTTGAAAAGTAAAGTAAGAACGTGAAGTAACGTTAGCTTTCAGAGGCCAGACGTTGAGAAAAAAATATGTTGGTAAGTTTCCCTAGACAGGAGCATTTCACATCAAACCACTCTAAATGACTGTTTACATCTTAACGATTTTATGACACAGACATTTGAAAAAAATAGGTGGAATTCCTCTTTAAGACAGTAACATATTAATGCATGGACCGGGCAGTATCTATACATTCTGAAACTGGTGAAAATCGCAAAATCTCTAGAGTGCAAATATAGTCATTCTCAGTAACGTTACTATGGTTACGTCTGGTTCCTATCACCACCACTGTGATTGACTCCAGAACGGAGCATTTCACACCAAACCACTCTGAATTACTTCGTTTAAATCTTAAACGTTTCACTGTGCAGAACATTTCTAAAAAAATGGCAGTATTTTCCTTTAGCGCTAGAAAAATACTACATTGACTTTTGCAAGGACAATGATGATTTCCGTGATATGGAAAATATGCTCCATAGTGTTAATAATTAAACATTCACAACATTTCATTCATTACTACACAGTTGCAACGCTTTGTAACTGAAAAACAAATTGACTCGTCTCCCATAACCACGAGCACAGCCACAACTATTTCGACTGTCACTACCAAGCCTTGAACCCCGGTCGCCCACATCCATTTAACATACACTGCACCCTCCCGCTCAACCACACTTCACGTCGGAAACACACCGCTCTCCTACGGCAAAGTCTCAAGAGCTGCAGACTGCTAATTGCATCCTACTATCGGCTTTGTATACTACGAATTATTCTTGCCTATTGCGTCTCACGTATGGTTCATGTGTGATGGTTGCTGCATTTAACGTTACTTTAGTAACACCCAGTTAAATAAGTTACGTTAGTGTTAGTGGTATAAGTTAACGTTAGCTATGTTGAAGCTAGCTGGGGTTGTGAATCTTTGTCCAGCTCCTGTTCATGATTCACTTTTACCGCACCAGTATACATTTTGTTGTTCCTCAGTCAAGCATGTTTACAACAGCATGGGCTACTAGCTACTAACATGTTTAACGGGAAAACAGTGCAATATTTTGCTAGCCAGTTAGCCACTCACCGGCCACGGAAGTAAGCAAAGACTCTGTTCTGTTCAAATTACAAAAGCTGTCTCCGAGAGACTCTTATTCAAAAGCACAATATCAATGCTACCGAAAATTCACTGCATCTTGTGCAAATTATGACTGAAATAAGTCAGTATCGCTGATATTTCCATTCAGCACTGACAGTCGGCAGTGCTGTGACGCTCAACTGCTTCAAAGATAATGTTGACGAAATGGGTCCAAACATTTGCACCGAGAGGGGTGTATGTGACAATACAATGCTTTTTTCAATTACTTTGCGGTATCCTACCATGATATGCCGGTATTCCTTCCTTAAAAAAACACAATAAATTTTACATTATTATTTATTTTCTACATCTGTTTCCTTAAGTGGTCGATTTAATGAATTACCGCGGTCACATTCTCCTATAGTGGCGCGTACCATTGCTAGTGCTGCTCTCAGTTTTAAAACGCGCCCTTGCCAAAAAAGTTTCTTGGTTAGGTCTTTTTCTCGTGCATAATAAATTTAAATAAAACGATTATTTTTTTCCCAGTGTCTCTCAGTAATATTCGTTTGAATAGTCCAAGAACTTTATTCAACTGGATGCATGAATAAACTCTGTCGTTACTGGGACTTTTATTGTGTCAGGGAGTTGAAAATATTTCCATAACCTGGAAACAGACTACACTGGAACCTCTTGAGCTAAAATGTATGAAAAATATAATTTTACAGGTCATATGGCTTTGTACCGACAAAGCAGAAGGGTTTAAATAGACTGAAAGATATGCAATGGACTGGGAACAACTTGAACTGAATCCAAGGATTATTAATGCTCTGAAAAAGGGTAAAACATTCAAATGTCCCGCTACATCATAGCTCTAACTACATGCATTAGCTTTATTCATTTGTGAATTCGTGTAATTTTTGTTCGCCGTTTTTTGTCACTTTTCTCAGCCTGTTTGAAATCAGCGAAAGAGATTCTCAGTCTTTCGGGTCCTGAACTGCAGAGAATCGCTCATCTTTCCCAGAGTGAGGTGAAGCGTGTGCAGGCTGCTGTTGCTGCTGCATATCGCAGTTCACCTCCCGTTACAGGTAATTCACTATAGCCACTATGGAGAGCAGGGGTGCCTAGTCCTGGTCTGGACAGCTCCGACCTTAATCTAACACACCTGAGCAAGATAATGAAGGCCTTCAGGAGCATGTGAATATTAGAGCCAGGTGTATCATATCTGATCTTTCCAGGATGGTAGCTAGATCTCCAGGGCCAGAATTGGGCACCCCTGATTTAGAGTCTGCACAAAACTCTCATTACTTGCCTTCCATACATCAATTTTTTTGTTGCCCATCCCAAAACCACACATAATTTGCTTTAGAAAGATTTAATTCGATAATGGACTATGGTTATTGTATTTTGCCATATTTAAAGCTATGCAATTTCAGATATTTTATAACTGATCGGTTGATACATTGGGTCCAACTGAACAATAGAAACTTAAAAAGTTTTTTTTGTAAAAAATATACTGAAGTCATGGAAAGAGACTGGAAATGTTCAAAATCTGCTACATGCTGACTATGCAAAAGCAAAAATAAAAGAAATAAATAAAATCCTAAATACTGACTTCCTAAATACTAAGGAAAGAGATCACTAACATCTGAATCCCAAACCAGCCATTCAGAAGCCTAAAGACTCAAACAGATGACAAGATATTCTGGAGAAACACTATTCATATGGTCACCAGGAGTTGGATTCGACTTAACAGCACCTAATAATAATAATAATAATAATAATAATAATTTCTGTCCCACTAATGTTTGAGTACTTTTACTTTTGAAATCACTACCAGGATAATTTTGAGTTTCTGTTAGTAAACCTGCTTGTTATTGCTGGTTGTCATAACTTTTCTGATGGATAAAAATGAATAAATGATATCTTTAGCTTGTAATAAAGTAACAAAACATAAATTGTTTTCAGAGAGGGTCCCAAGACTACTTTTTGGCACTGTATGAGAAATCCATTTACACTGGTGTGGAATGCTACCACTTTTTGCATTTGTCACAGGAGTGGATCAGATACATTCCTGTTTTGTCCTCCAGTTACCCATTGATTGATGTCTACATTTTTGCCGATATGGTCACTGTATTGATACCTAGTATTTTTTAATGGTGATTTACCATTACCACTGCGAATTAGTCCTAGACTAGACTGCAGTTAATCCATGCCTGGTAAACCCAGTCCTAGTGTTAAGTTTTACAATGGTGAACTTAACGTAAATGACTGAAATGAATGATCATTATGGCTGGCTGTTACATGCAGCACGATTTGCAGGGTTTCTGTTATTTACATTAGTAACAAACTGGACAGGCACCTGTGAAATGTTCTGCTACAGCTTTACAGTTGGCTCGTGGAGAATGTCCTTCCTTGGAGCCTGGACACAGACTTTCATTGGCCTGCCCTGTTTTGGATGACCTTTTGCGGGGAGGCCTCCCACTGCATGGAATCACAGAGTTGGCTGGCGAGAGTGCTGCTGGAAAGACTCAGTTTGGGCTGCAGCTTTGCCTGTCTGTCCAGTATCCGCAGGATCATGGGGGGCTCGGATCAGGTAAGCAAGCAAGTTTATTTATATAGCGCTTTTTACAACAGGTGTTGTCACAAAGCAGCTTCACAAAAAATCCGGGTCCAAGCCCCCATGAGCAAGCCAGTGGCGACAATGGCAAAGAAAAACTCCCTAAGAGAGGAAGAAAGTTTGAGAGGAACCAAGACTCAGAACGGAAACCCATCCTCCTCTGGTCGACACCGGATAGCAAACAGTGTTAGTATAAAGTATTATCGTACAAAACGGGGAAAACAGGTGGAGCAATGGTTAATTAGATTAGTCTTAGTTTATGCAGCAGCAGCAGCAGCAGCAGTAGCAGCAGCATCATTGGGAGGGTCAGTTCATGAGGGTAAGGTTTGCACAGCGCTGTACAGCATGAAGTAAAGCAGGTACAGATCAAATAGGTTTGTGAAGAAAGAGTTATATTGATTGATTGATTGATTGATGGATATATAGATAGAAATACTGTCTATAAATCATACTGTAAGTCTAATTTCTATGGATAATTTGGCAAATATTATGTTTTTTTAAATGCAGGAGCTGTATACATCTGCACTGAAGATTCTTTTCCTATCAAACGGTTGCGTCAGCTGATTACTCAGCAGTCCCGGCTCCGCCCTAATTTACCACAGGCTCTGATCCGCAGCCTCCGCTTCAGTGACAACATCTACATCGAGCACACTTCAGACCTGGTAAGAGGAGATGCACTACATGTCCAAAAGTACCTAGACACCTCGTCCAATGAGTGAATTCAGCTCCTTCGAGGGGCACCCATTGCTGGCACAAGTGTTCAGTTGCACTGTTTGCATATTCCCCATAGAAAGGCATTGCCAATAGAATGGAATGCTAATGCTCTTGTAGCTTTCACCAAAGAGTAGAGGCTGTTACTGTAGCAAAGGGAGGAAAAACTCCCTATGAATACTCTTGATTTCAGGAGAAATATTGGATGAGCAGATGTCTACAGATGCCTTTTGGACGTCTAGTGTGTTAAGCATTTTCCTGATACTCCAGAATGCAACCATCTATGACAGTGTCCTTCAATACATTTCAGAAGAGAGCCATCCTGACCAAAAGAGCTCTGGGTTGAGGGCCAACAGGTGTAAGGGGCTTGCATTTAAGACCAAGGATTGGTTGGGCATAGCACATATAGTCTTCCAGACACATTTACTTATTATTAAAAGAAACTGATCCATTTGTTTGTTTGAACTTGTTACATATTATTTTTGCTGCCTACAAAACGTAACATTCCTCCCTCTCCATTTTCTGAGCTTTCTGTTCTTCACTGTCACTGTGAAAAGTTGACGCATTACTGCTACACACTCCTTCATTTTTAGGCTACAGTTGAAATGGCTCCACGTTTTGGTGAAGTTGTATTATGACTTGTTTCAGAATAATGTCATTTTTATTATTAGAATGTGCCATAACTATTACTTTTTTGCAATCAGAGACCTTTGTGTATATTTCTTGCCCTCTGGGGGGCGCTAATGGCCTGTGTGCCACACAGTGAAGAGCTCAGCTCTGTGATAAAGAAAATACAAAGCATTGCCCGTTCTTAACACAAGGCTGTATATGTTTCCACAGGAGGCTCTTCAGACGTGTGTATCGCAGCGTGTGCCCATGCTATTGGAGCGAGGTTTGGCGCGTCTGGTTGTGGTGGACTCTGTGGCTGCTCTGTTCCGTACTGAGTTCCAAGCTGATGAAGCCATAGAGAGAGCCCGCCACCTGCTTGCCTTCTCTGCCGCCCTGCATCGTATCAGTCATACACACGGTGCACCTGTGTTCTGCATCAACCAGGTTCCTCACACTGTTCTGGTTTTCCTTTGTTAGACATGAAGCACCTCAAACAGTTGTTCGCTCAGTCAGTCAGTCACTCATTCACTGAAATACTCGCTCTCAGCAGGCTAAATCTTTGACACAAGGGGGTGCTGTTAACACTTTTTGTGTGCATCATTTAAAGAGCCTTAAACTAGAGTTAAATATGTGATTTGTTATGCTATGTAGTATTCTGTAGCGCAGCACTATATCAGTCAGACTCATCGGTTTATCAGAATTCACATAGGGTGGACCAAAATAAAACACTTTAGTGGGCCAAGAACACATCAACAATTATTTATTCTACTGTCATTTTAATGAAAGATACATTCTGAATGAACAAACTGATTTAACAAATATCACCCACAAAACAGATTATTTAGACTAAGGTTGCTCTCTATACCATTATACCATCTTTTACACATTTTTTCAAGTTCAAAGAGTGCCAAGGATTGTAGACATACAAGTGCGGTAATATTTATGTTCAAACAGAATGTTTTAATCACAAATTTGAGCACTGAACAGTCCAACTAATTCAGTAAGCTGTCAGCAATGTCAGCAGTGAAGTTAAGAAAAGTTACCTTGGCTAGCTAATTGATCTTAACATTTTTTCTGCGGGGGTGTTTATTGTTAGTTATGTTATATTAAAATAGATGTTAGCCAATACCATAATCTAGATACCTTAGAGCTGCTTGTTAATAATTTTGACATTGAGCTGTGAGTGTGCTCTTCCACATAGTTAAATCCAACACTGTTTCAGCTTCAGTGATGAAATAGAAACAGCACCGCCATCCAGATGATCAGGATAGTGATGCATGTCTGAACTACACATTCCTCAGTAGCACTACTTCATGCCTCTCAGCCTAATAGTTGTGACTAACTTACCATTATGACCAATCTTCTAAGTTTGATCTGAGAAGTTTTGCCAGAGTTTTTCATTCACATGTCGAAAGAAGTAGAGCTTAAAGATGGTGGCTAAGTAATGACTGGTTGAACGTCGTCTCGATCTTTATTTTGCAAACAAAATTACGAAATGAAATTACATTCCACTGGATGATTGTAATTTAGAACATGGATTCTAAATTCTTCTGGCTGTATGTTTGACACCCTGCTTATGAGACTATTGCAGCACTGCTGTAAGATACAAGTAAGTATGTTTACAAAATATGTTGCAGTGGTTACATTTTTCATTTTGGCCATAATCCCTCTTTAAAACTGACATGAATCCACACCAGCAAGAGCTCGCCATTGGACATGTTTGTAGTCACAAATTTTGTACATATAAAGTAAAAGATCTGAAATGCTAATATATAATATACTAAACATACCCTATGTAAGTAAGTACATACAGTGGTGTGAAAAAGTGGTTGCCCCCTTCCTGATTTCTTATTTTTTTGCATGTTTGTCACACGTAAATGTTTCAGATCACCAAACAAATTTAAATATTAGACAAAGATACAAGTAAACACAAAATGCAGTTTATAAGTGAAGATCTTTATTATTAAGGGATAAAGAAATCCAAACCTACAGGGCCCTGTGTGAAAAAGTGATTGCCCCCTAAACCTAATAACTAATTGGGCCACTCTTAGCAGCAATCAAGCGTTTGCGATAACTGGCGATGAGTCTTTTACAGCGCTGTGGAGGAATTTAGGCCCTCTCATCTTTGCAGAATTATTGTAATTCAGCCACATTGGAGGGTTTCTGAGCATGAACCGCCTTTTTAAGGTCATGCCACAGCATCTCAATCGGATTCTGGTCAGGACTTTGACTAGGCCACTCCAAAGTCTTAATTTTGTTTTTCTTAAGCCATTCAGAGGTGTCTTGCTGATGTGTTTTGGATCATTGTCCTGCTGCAGAACCCAAGTGCGCTTCAGCTTGAGGTCACGAACAGATGGTCGGACATTCTCCTTCAGGATTTTTTGGTAGACATCAGAATTCATGGTTCCATTTACCACAGCAAGTCTTCCAGGTCCTGAAGCAGCAAAACAGCTCCAGACCATCACACTACCACCACCATATTTTACTTTTGGTATGATGTTCCTTTTCTGAAGTGCTGTGTTACTTCTACGCCAGATGTAATGGGACATACACCTTCCAAAAAGTTCAACTTTTGTCTCGTCAGTCCAGAGTATTCTCCCAAAAGTCTTGGGGATCATCAAGATGTTTTCTGGCAAAACTGAGACGAGCCTTTATGTTCTTTTTGCTCAGCAGTGGTTTTCGTCTTGGAACTCTGCTATGCAGGCCATTTTTGCCCAGTCTCTTTCTTATGGTGGAATCATGAACACTGACCTTAACTGAGGCAAGTGAGGCCTGCAGTTCTTTGGATGTTGTTGTGGGGTCTTTTGTGACCTCTTGGTTGAGTCGTCGCTGCGCTCTTGGGGTAATTTTAGTCGGCTGGCCACTCCTGGGAAGGATCACCACTGTTCCATGTTTTCGCCATTTGTGGATAATGGCTCTCACTGTGGTTCACTGGAGTCCCAAAACTTTAGAAATGGCTTTATAACCTTTTCCAGACTGATAGTTCTCAATTACTTTGTTTCTCATTTGTTCCTGAATTTCTTTGGATCGCTGCATGATGTCTAGCTTTTGAGGATCTTTTGGTCTGCTTCACTTTGTCAGGCAGGTCCTATTTAAGTGATTTCTTGATTGAGGTGTGGCAGTGATCAGGCCTGGGTGTGGTTAGGGAAATTGAACTCAGCTTTTCAAAGATGTGATAAACTACAGTTAATGTATGTTTTACCGGGGGGGGGGGCAATCACTTTTTCACACAGGGCCCTGTAGGTTTGGATTTCTTTTTCCCTTAATAATAAAGACCTTCATTTATAAACTGCATTTTACTTGAGTCATCTTTGTCTAATATTTAAATTTGTTTGGTGATCTGAAACATTTAAGTGTGACAAACATGCAAAAGAATAAGAAATCAGGAAGGGGCAAACACTTTTTCACACCACTGTATATAGGATACTGCTGCCTTTGCAGTACAGCAACAACTGTTGACTGATATTAAAACCAATCAGAGTAACCATACATCTAACAAAGCAAACAACCAGGAGTGCTGTAGAAGAATTGTACTGCACATGAATGGTCATATTAGTGAAAGATCACTTTGCCTGTTCTAGGAAACAGTTACTGGGATTGAAACTACCAGGAATATCACATAGTATTAAATAATTCAACAGGACTGCATGTCAAGGTACTCAGACTTAAAGTAATTAAAGTATCTTTATCCTTACTAACTAGGTGTCAGATGTTGTGGATGGCCCGAACCCAGGACGCTGTGATTATGGGTGAGAATTTCTTGTGTTTGTTGTATCTATAGACTCTAATATGTTGTTCCACGTCTCTTAATTATAAGTGGTAAAGAGAAGCTAAAAGCTTGTATTTCTCACCGTGTTGTAATAGATGATTGTTTGTCTGTTTCCTGTCAGGCTCGTAGACAGTAAGGTGCTACCTGCACTCGGCATTGCTTGGGCCAACCAGGTGATGGTGCGTCTAATGCTGAGGAGACAGGAGGGCTGTTTAAGATCAGGGGGCCAGACTTGTGCTCCCCGCAAATTAGAGGTGGTATTTGCGCCCCACCTTCCGCGAGCCAGCTGCCTGTGTGGAGTTTGGGAAGAAGGGGTTAGAGGGATTTCTCATGAAGACATCAATGCACAGCCTCAAACCCCTTCATAATGATACTTCTACAGAGGGAAATGTCCTAGAGGAACAGCACACCAGAGATTTTTGGAGATAAAGAACTCCATACACTGTATAAATAAAAGTAATCTTTTTTTGTTGAAGTGACCTCTGGCAAGGTCACTTGGCTACAAGCATTATACAAACAAAAGACTATATTAGTTCTTTATGAATGTTTGTCTTTGATACATTGAATAAATGATAATTTTATCAAACTTTGTGATGTTATCTCATCAGGAGTATAATCTTATAATAATTGTATAATAATTTTTTTAAGGTTTGTCCTAAATGTAATTTTCTCAACCATGCTAGGATTAAAGTAATAGATGAAAAATCAAATTTATACAGTTTTCCACTTACCTCCTAATGTAGTTGATCGGGCAAATTATGTTTGGGGTCCAAATTCTGCTGCTGTAGTTTTGCACCAAAGCTACAAGGCTTATGTAACTAAGAAGTAATGGAACTTATATTGAACCAGTTAACACTGTATAAAACTGCATGCCTATAGCATCACACTGTTACCTCAAGGCACATCAAGTTGTTCAGTAATGTCAAGTGGACCTGCTGTGGTTTCTGACAAGAGTGTGCTTATAGCTCAACATTGCACCCTAGACAATGTAAACATACTGTGTAATAAACCATAACTACTAGAAATAACTATCATATTGATGCAATGGATGACTGCTACTACAGTGTTTTAATATGTACTTTTTGTTGATTTTTTTTTGGATAATAATATACCAGATAATAATATTAACACATAAACAAGTCTATTTGAGATGGTGTAATAGCCTCCAAACCTTTTCTTTATTAAGCGATTTATGTGCTACGTTAGCTACATTTAGTAGAGTAAGGAAAATGTTACAGAACATGTTCTGATTGGTCAAGTTGTCAAGTGATGACTGTTTAGAATAGTTATAGGCATACTTTCAATGAACGAAACCTGTTCTTCTTCTTCCAATTCTTCTTCTTCTTCTTCTTCTTCTTCTTCTTATTTTTATTATTATTATAGGTAGTCCTTATACCTTTATTCACAGTAAAATTTGTATGTTCGGTTGTTTTGTTAAAGTAGTTAGTTGTGGTAGCCCTATGTGACCAAGATTAGATTTAATTTGATAAATTAAGTGAGAAAACTTACTTTTGATGATTAATTTGAACGGATTTGTGCTCAGACAAGCTTACAGAACAGCTGGAGTAAAGAGCATTTAAAAAATCAAATAAGGAGATAAATAGGCTGAGGATGCTGCTGCACTGATTGAAAGACTTGTTAATGGTGTCTTCTTAATCCACCAGGGCTGTGGGTGTGGCGCGTTCAGCAGTGTGACCTAAAATATGTCATTTCAGGTTAATGGGAAATTCTGTCTAAAGCTTCCATACTGGCCAGCAGAGGGCACTGAGTGTAAATGAAAGTCTTTTACTCAGTTCTATGTGTCTGTCCAACGGAGAGCACGCTGTCATTGACGATCTGTGGTGCTCCCTAACCAGCTTATTTCTAATTGACTTGTTCTGGGGGACTGCTAAAATGGACGGACAGTTCCGGCAGCGATATCACAGTTTGATCCATTTCACACCAGCCGCTGTCACTGATTTTGGGGACAGTGTGCCCCTGGGACACGCACAGCAGACAGATCAGCCAGAAGTGCTACATCAGAGGTGTTGGAGCGGGTGTGAGGAAGGGAAAAAACTGTCAGTTTCTGTATGAGTTTATATCACTGCAGGGATTCTGTCATGGGTGTCTGTGTGTGTCTACGTGGAGGGAGGTGACAATAAAAGCCATGGCTGTAACTTTGATCATCTAACAATTTGTCTTGCACTGGGGTGGTGTGACCTGGGTACCTGAGCCTTTCTGCCAGTAGATTACATTTTTGTCCCACTGTTCAGTTTCTAAGAACACATTACATGCAGAAAATGTTAATGTTGTATTTATAAATTACACTGTATTTCCAAAAGTATCCAGACAGCCCTTCTAACAAGTGAATTCAGCTCCCATTGCTAGCACAGCAATTCAGTTGCTCCCATACAGTTTGCATAATTTCCATAAAAAAAACATTGACCACTAGACTGGGATGCTCTGGAGCAGCCACACATGAGCCTTAGTTCACCATCTCTATTGCCAAACATCATCTAGAGGAGCATTGGGCTGTAGAGCCATGGAACTGTTCTCTGGAGTGATGGCGCTCCATCCAGTCCCTTTAGAATGAGCCGGAGTGGAGTTTGTAATCCAGAACTGATCATCCAACATCAGTACCTGACCTCACTAATGCTCTTGACACTAAATGCAATCAAATCTTCACAGCAATGTTTCAACATCTAGTGCAAAGCCTTCTCAGAAAACTAGACTAGGCTGTTACTGTGGCTGTTAATACCCTTAATTTGGATGAGCAGATGTCTACAAACATTTAGACACATTGTGTAGTTTTAAAGAATAGTTACATAAAACACGTTAATATTTTTACATAATATTAATACTAAAACTAATTCTACTGCTAATATTATATCATGTGCCCCAGCTGGGTTATTGAAACCGGTTTATGCTGCTAGACAAAGTAGCACATCAACAGGGAAGTATCAAGACTCATTTTTAGGTACGTGACCAAGAGACAAATAGTATTTTTTCACAATAAATAAATAGGTTTCATTAACACATATATCAACCAAGGTATACAAGAATATGCAGCATATATTTATGATGGGGCAAACATTTTTTTAGTTGCCTTTAGTCAAATGTTCCAATTAGGCCTCTGGCTCTGTGACTTACAGAGGGTGCGGGGGTGGGGGCAGCACAGTCATGTGTTGCCATGACTGTACAGCAGGTTAGGCGGTGGCAGCAGCTGCGTGATTGATTATTAAAGCACACAAGGGCTTTTGGGAATATTGGCTTGACTTTGCATCCTGAACAGGTCACAGCAATGTGGAATAACCCTGAGTCATCAACAGAATCAGATGGGTACTTGTTTTTGGTTCGTGAGTGTGTGTGGGAGTATGTTTGTTGTTATGGAAGAGAGGTATAAGAGCTGTTGTGATAAAGGCAAAATTTAGTCATGTGTGATGAATAGTGATACATAGTCTAAAGACAAACAGTAGTAACAGTTTTTTTTATATATATATATATATATATATATATATATATATATATATATATATATATATATATATATACATTGATCAGGCATAACATTATGACCACCTCTTTGTTTCTACACTCATTGTCCATTTTATCAGTTCCACTTACTATATAGGTGCACTTTCTAGTTCTAGAATTACAGACTGTAGTCCATCTGTTTCTCTGCATACTTTGTTAGCCCCCTTAAACCCTGTTCTTCAGTGGTCAGGACCCCCCATGGACCCTCACAGAGCTGGTACTATTTGGGTGGTGGATCATTCTCAGCACTGCAGTAACACTGACGTGGTGGTTGTATGTTAGTGTGTGTTGTGCTGTTCTGAGTGGATCAGACACAGCAGTGCTGCTGGAGTTTTTAAACACCTCAGTGTCACTGCTGGACTGAGAATAGTCTAACAACCAAAAATATCCGGCCAACAGCGTCCTGTGGGCAACGTCCTGTGACCACTGATGAAGGACTAGAGGATGACCAACACAAACTGTCGTCTCTGACTTTACATCTACAAGGTGGACTGAAAGGTAGGAGTGTCTAATAGAGTGGACAGTGAATGTTTAAAAACTCCAGCAGCATATATCAGTGTGTATATAAATATATATATATATATATCCCATGAAATAATTAGATTTAGCTCTGAATGCCTGTGTATACTGCAGCTATGCAATTTGGCATCAATACACCCACTTAACTATGCATTCACTCAGTGAGCTGCTGAGGGTCCACTTATCAGAGCAAGCTAAACAGATGCACAAACACACACACACACACACACACACACACACACACACACACACATTACCACACACAAAGCTGCTTCTTTCTCCTTCTAGCCCCTTGCCATCACCATGGCGACAATCACATGGGTCCGCTGTCCCAGATTACTTGACCCACCCCCACCCTTGCCAAGCGACGCAACTCATCTCCATCATACTGCAAACCTAACTCGCCCCCCATATACACACACACAGATACACACACACACACACACACGAACACTGCTCTCAGCTGTTTACTGCTGCGCCATTTAAAAGCTTATTACGTAATACCCACAGTCTACAGGCTGTGCACAGTAAGGTATGCCAAATATAAACACCACCCACATCTCTATCTTCGCCTTGTCTTCAGAATGTCTTGCAAGCTTGAACATTAGCCTGTGCAGCTCCACTCTTATAGCAGTGCTAACCCTTTCTGAGTGGGGCAAGGAGGAGGTGGTAGGCTGAGTGTTGGTATGCACCCCTCGTCCTCTTGTCTCAGCCTCACTCAGCCTTACTGGGTGTGCTGAAGGGAAGAGAGATGAGAGGACAAAATAAGGAACATAAGGCAAGATCCTAGACTCTGAAACATCTAAATATGTGGGTATGTAGAACACACAATGGATTATATATGTGTGCACAGCTGAGCATACATCCATGCAGATGTTACTCACCAGGATATATTTAGAGACACAGAGAGAGGTCAAAAACTCGAATATATTACATCCAAATGGCAATTACACAAACAAGCACGCACACTCTGGGAGATGTGAAGACACTGCGTTACGTAACTACAGCCATGAATCAGAATAGCTGAGAGCACATTTGCATGAGGATGTTGCTGGCACTTTTACAGCCTTTAAAACGGCAGATTGTTTGCAAATAATCAAAGCATCTCTTTGATTATCTTCCGTTTTGATGTTATACTTAAAAACATGCATATGGATGAGAGATCATATCCATTGCTTACCAATGATGACCTGGCACCATCTGCACTGCATTTATCTACTGATCTTCTTGCACTCATTTACATCTGTGCATTTTCAAATGCATTGCTGCATAGCCATGTAGGTCAATGAAGGCTTTGGCAAAGGCAAAAGTGATTCCTGCTGTAGTGTCTAGCCAAATTTCAGGCTCAATTCAGGGGCCTAAGCTGTTATCAAGAGGAGAAGAGGTGGCTATTTATATACCAAACTATGGATCAAGATACAACATTAAATTAATATGCTTGCATATTAATTTAATGTTGTATCTTGATCCATAGTTTGGTATGCTTGCATATTAATTTAATGTTGTATCTTGATCCATAGTTTGGTATATAAATAGCCACCGAGTACAATGTGCTGGTGTATTTTATTTCATTTTATTTTATTTATTTTATGCAGA